GCCCGAGGCAACCCCAAGGGACTGAGGGGAATTCTTCCCCTTCCCAACCCCAGAGCTGCTTGCCTTTGCCGCTGCAAATCTCAGGCGGCCTCAGGGAGTAAAGGGAAATTCTTCTGCTCCTTCACAGCTGGTTTTGTCTCAGCTGCTGTGAGTCTGTGGCAAAACTAGTGCAGGGGAGTGGAAGAACTGAGTTCTGCTTCCTGGGGCTGCAGGACCCTGGGCTGAGGTGAGGGAAAGCACCCCAGGCAGGGGCTCCCGCATACCCCCATGCTGGGCTGCAGAGGCAGGCACCTGGCTGACAGGACTTCTTCTTTCTCCCCCCGTGGCAGCTACTGAAGCAATCAACAGCTGGGAAGGGGAGGAATTCCCCTCAGCTTCCCAGGGCTGCCTGGGCTAGTGATCCCAGGCAGAGAGAAACCTTCAGAGGGGGCAGCTCTCCCAAGGTGGGCCAGCACTCAGACAGGGGGCTCCTGAACCTCCTGTGGGGGGGACAGCAGTAGATTGAGGACACTTGGCTGGGCTGGCAGTGGCCAGCAGGCTGGGAGACATGTTTTAGCACCCCCTGCCTACTGGCCAGTCAGTGAAAGCCTCCCCTGCCGCCTTTCCCAGCTGAAAACTGAACATGAGTTCAGTTGGTTATTGGTTCAACTTACGCAGCTTAGAGGAGGCTGCCTAGACTGAATCGATTCTGCCTCTGACTTTTGCCTGTCTGTACGTAGCCCTTCAAATAAGACCTTCTTAAGGAACCAAAAATGTCTGATTGTTTTTGAAAAAGCTTTTCCCTGGATGAGATTTATAATGTGTTAGAATTAGTGAAAGAGCTATTACTTAGGGGAATTTCTTTTTACAGATTTGCCAACACATTGTGTAATATTGTAATGTGTTTATGTGCAACTCCATTGATGCCATTGTCATTGCATTGAATGACAGCACACCAACTGATCCATTACAAAGTTATTTATTTTAAATATACCATTCCACTTAGATTTGTATAACAAGCATCAGGTCACCAGAGCTAAATTAAGTTCCCAGAAATGGTTAATAAATAATCTACCCAATATTACTTGCCACAAACCAGATGCACAGACCAAATTTCAGTGCTTAAATAACTGGAATTGCTAGTGTGCTTTTCTTAGTGGACTGTCTACAAACATGTTTTATGCAAAAAACTCCTTTGCATAGCAGATGCACAAGTTATTCAGTGCTTAGGAAACTGGGAAAAAACTGCTATGGTTTTAAAGAAAAAAATTCTAAGGGGATAAATCTCACAAACTAATTGACATATGGGTGTGGTTATGATGCTACTTTTCATTTTGGAAAGGTGATTTGATGGGATCTGCATAGTTTTAGTGCAGAAGATTCTGGACCTCTCTCAGAACTAAGTGCAAAATATTTCTTATTCTTCAGTAACTTGTCTCACATCTCATGTACTAAGTTGGTTATCATCTTAGATGCCTTCATCCTTTTTTATTTATCTATTTAAATGCACCTACTCATTTGTGGTTCATTCTTACAGATAATGTACATGAAAAGACTTTATTTTAGTATTACCGTTGGGGGCTGCCTGGACATCATGGTGAGAAGGACCATATAAGTACCTAGGTACTCAGTTAGCTCCTAGTTTCAGGATGCACATTTTAACGTATTATTTGGATTGAATAAATTTATAACAGGTTGTCGTTTTTTGCTGAATCTACTGTTTGTACCTTTCTTTAATTCATAAATTTTATAAATATTCTAGGGTTAGTCCAGACCCTTTGGGGAAAACGTTCGTTATTTTAAATATGCCTTCCAGCCATATTTTAATAGATAGTTAAAGGTTTGTATATTAAAATTGTGCTGCTGTTAAACTATAATAATCACCTGTGTAGCTGAATAATTATTTTGCATAGTTGCAATAATCAGTCCATGTTCCCAACTGTAAACTTGAATGAGTTCCTATAAATATATAGATATTGTATATGTAATTTATATACAGTGTGTGTAAATGTATGCACACACAGTAAAAATCTTGTATTGCTTTATCCATCTTCATAGCGCACAGATGATGGGGACCATAAAGAGGTTGGTAGACATGTAATGTATAAATGGCTGAGAGTCCAATGCAGATCCTCAGCCTGAGATATCTAAACAAGCACAGAACACTGAAGTCTTCCCATTGGCTTCTTCAGTATTGCCAACTCTCATGCCAACTATTAAAAAGAGTAAAAAAAAACTAGAGGGAAAATCTTAATAGACTAACTCTTGAATTTTCAGAATCCTCTAGTTTCCAGCTGTTACTGTTGCCTCTTCATTTAAACTAGAAACAGCAATTTTAAGTAGAGCTCAAATTGTCTCTAGTCAATGACACTAGGTTTTGTTGTTAGCATGCCGATATGTCAAAGATAAATGGATTTTCTTGACTGGTGGAGGGACTCTGAGCTTCACAATATAATCGAACAAATGTTCTATCCCTCATGTTTCAGTGTAGTGAAAATCTTTTACTGTAAATGGAGCCTGCTTTTATCAGTGAGTTAGCTGCCATGACAACTGCATTGCTTGTGAAAGCCTTGTTTGAATGATCTTGCAGGGAGCAGGGAGTCATTGAAATTCTGAGTATCTTTCAACTGCAGGCAGAAGCAAACATTCCTTGTGTATCAGCCAATATTTACTATTATCACGGTTGGTAGCAGATGCCAGTTTTATTGTTCATTATTAAACCAGAGGAAAGAAGACCATTCCCTGGTAATGGAAGCTTTTGACCTTTTTATTACCAAAACAAAGTTATTTGGTCTTCGCAAATAGTTATACCTATCTTAGCTTCCATGTAGTTCTCACTATCCACTCTTCATTGTCTATAATGGTAAAGAGGGTTTTTCATTCTAAGTGTGATATGCAGCACATTAAAAACTTTAATCAATTTAAACTTCAGACCTTTGCTTTCTTTTTTTTCCTGTAAATGCAAATGAATGTTGTACGGGATTTCATTTTGTGTTGCTTTTTAAAGAAGGGTCTGTTCTTTGGAAAAGCCAGCTCTGGCATTTGATTGTTTGAAGAGGTCCTAGTTTCTGCCTTTGTGATGCTATAGCTTTTTTCTCTGGTGATAGGTTGTAGTGTACAGTACAAGATCCTGTGTAAGGATCAAGGAAAAGATGTGCTGTGACTGGCATGGCAAAAATTTTAAGCAGTGCCTGCAGTCACCCCTCTCTTCCCTGCTCCCCACACTTTCCCCAGACTGGGGTCATTCTGGTCTGAGGAAGGCATAGGAAGCACCTGCTGGTTTTGGGGTTACTCCAGTCTGGGGAAGACACAGGAACACTTCCCTGCACTCAGCTTCTCCTAGTCTCTTGAAGGAGGTAAGGTAGGGCAAGCATACAAGCATTTGTTCCTGTGAGAGAGAGTCTCTCTCCCACAGGAGAGATATTCCTCACTGAAACAAAGACAGTTTTTCTCTCAGAATCAGCCTGTTTCCTGCAAGAGAAGTGGCATAAATGCCTGTACACTCCTGGTTTCTAACAGGAGACCAGTATTTTTCCCATTAGAAATCTAGTGCCTCTCAATATACAGTTGAGCTTTGCTCACAAGGAATGTAACGGTTAAATTCCTGTTTATTTCACAAGGAGCAAATGTAGATCAATATCTAATGGCTGCATCTGAAAATCCCTCCTTAAATTCTTACTTGGTTATTAGATATCATTGTTGATATTTAACTCTAGGATCTAGGATATGCATTGAAAGGTACTGTGGGCACTGTTTAGAGCATCGGTGGCAAAATTGTCTGTGCACACAAGACTATTTTGGGATCGTGTTCTTGAATAGAGCTGCTTCCCTTAACACAGGAGTTGGTAACCTACAGCTTGCAGGCCAGATCCTGCCCATGGTGGTGGGAAGGATCAGGCACAGACAGCATTAGGGACAACAGAGGAGATGCCTCTAGGGTCCTTTTGCTTGCTGTATGCTGTTCATCCTGGCATGTACCTATGCTGTGCTCCACCTCTTCCCTGTGCAGCCACTGTTGATGCCCAGCCTACCTCCTCTCTGCGCTTGCCACCAAATTTGCCCACCAGCATGGCTGTTGGCCAAGCCATGACTGCACCACTTGGTATGACAATAAGCAGAGGCTGCAGGGAAGGGTGCCAGAGAAAGCAGGGAGTACTGGGTCAGCAGCAAGGGATTGGCCCATGGTGGCCATTGTAAAGACAAGTAAAGGTTGCCACCTCCTGCCCTAACAGATAATGGTCCTGACCCTTCTCCTACTGAAGCTGTCCCGTTGATTTATAGAATGCAGATGAGACTAGTCCTCATCCGCAAGCCTTTCTTGTTCTTTTAAACCTGTTTCTTCATGCCTGCCTCTCAATCGCCAGACTCCCCTCATTGGGGCATGGAAAGGAAAAGGGCACAGTCTGGTTATATGTTGCCTCCAAATCTCTAGGATGCAAGGTTCTGATAACATATTATTTCAAGGTTTAAGTACAAAGTTTCACCCTATGCAAGATATTTATTAATGCTTGCTATTGCACTTATACTAATTAATACTAATACTAACGAAGTGCTAGAAGTTTTTAATAAAGGGGAAATGTTTGATTTGTACTAACAATTATTCAAGGAGAAACAAACTTAAAGACATTGGTTTAGATTGAAAAAGTACGTTCATTTTTCTAGGAGGCTTTTCACAAGCTATTTAAACATAAATATGTCAAATCTGAGACTTCAGTAATGGTTTATAGTTGTTACTGTCAAAGCCATCATCATTTACATTGAATTATATACAATGATACATATACTGAATATCAGAGAAGACTGCCATTAAAGTTTTCTAAGGACTATTTGCAGTTGTTGACAATCAGCAGCTTCTGTCATGGTAAAATAACCGTAGGACAACCAATGCTGGAGTGGACTAGAGAACTGTGAGAAGGAAGCACAAGTCTGCTCAGTTGTGTCGACTAAATATAACACAACTTATACATTTATATTTGGCATACTGTTTTACTTATTTTTCTTTTTCTTTTTTAATCTTTGAGGTTACCTGCTTGCAAGATTTCTTTGGAGATGATGATGTTTTCATTGCATGTGGACCTGAGAAATACCGCTACGCACAAGATGATTTTGTACTGGATCATAGTGGTAAGATGGTACATCTTAAATTAATTAAAATGTCACCCTTCACACATTTTCTTTTTTCCCTTCATGAATCAAAAGTGAAATGTTTCTAAAGAAACTTATATTACATATTTTTATTCCAGTTGAAATGTTTTCTTAATAAGAAATAATTTTCTGAACAATAATTTAGTTCCAGTCTGTGTCAGTGAGAATTTATATAGTTGGTTGGTTTTTCTTGGGTAAAAGACTCTTCACATAAAGCATATGATAGACGACAGTGAATGTTGAAAAGCCTTCCTTTAATGCACTCCCTGAGCCTCATTCAAAGCCCACTGAAACCATTTGCACTAACTTCAGTGTGCTGTAACTCAGTCTCCATGTTCCTGCTGTGTTGAATTTTTTCCCAGATCACATATGCAGCTGACATTTTCAGAGCTACAGGAATTGTTCCATACATTCCAAGCATTCTGATCCTTTCTGTTAAACATACAGTGCATATTCAGTTTACATCAGGAGAAAGCATTTTTTTAAACTGAGAAAATGAATTTTCTGTGCACTTAGTTTCTTTTATTAAAAGCTTTTTGGTTTGTGGCTTTTAGCAATGTATTTAGGTGCTAGGTAGTTGTTATCCTCAAAGAGAAAAAGTCTCTAAACAGGAGCTCTAGAATTTTTCCAGGCATTATTCAAATTAAAATCTGAAATCAGCATATTTCAAGATGCTGTAGCTTGCTCACCAGCATATTTCAATACATTATGTTTAATATTAGAATCCTTGTAAGTAAGAAGTAGAGGAATAACATTACCAGATGCCGTATTAGGGAAGCTTATTTTCTACTACTACCAAATTCCTTTAGCTCTCAGGGATGTATCTGGTAGCCGTGATGGTCTGAGACAAAAAAAAAATGCAAAAATCTAGAACTCTTGATTCAGAAATGATACCTTTTATTAGACCGTCTAGGAAATTGCAAAAAAAGATCAAGAGTTCTAGATTTTTGCATTCCTTTAGCTCTCAAGTACATTTTTTAAAATGGAGTTGAGTTTCACAGCTCCTGCTCTGTGCCAGGAACTGTGCTGCCAGTTACTCCACATGAGTCATAGGCCAGAGCAGTACCTGACGCAGGTCAGCAAGGGACACAGGAACGTAGCACCTGTTGTCCCATAACTGGCAGGTGGCCTGATGTGGGACTACGGGTGTCATGTGTGTGTTGCCCAATAAATCTGCTTCAGTTGGGCAACGTCTGTTTCTACCCACAGTAAGCGTCCTGTGTAACAAGGCCCTAAGAGTAAAATATATGAGACAGTGCACCTGATGTATATTAGACTGGTTGAGTTAAAGCTTTTTTATCCTCCCTTGGGCCTGGGAGGAGAGCAAATATGTTAGCTAATACTCCACAAATCCTACTCTGGACAAGGCCATGCTTTTACTTTCTGCCCCAGTTGAACCATCTACATACCTCACAGACAGGCTAACTGAGCTTAGCCCCTTTCTTAGAAACTGCAGTAGTTCTAGATTCCTGTTTTCATTTCTCCTTCTGCTGTTCCCTTTTCTGAGATCCTCCCCACAGGTTCCTGTAGGAATCTCACTGAAAGAAAAGAACAGCTTGATGCCAGAAATAGAACTTGATTTGACTGGTGAAGGTGGGAGCTTCATTCCCCCTTAACCATTGGCATTGGCAACTGGCTAGGTGCTGGAGACATTATTAAGGACAGCGAAGTCTGAGAATAGACCCAAAAGTTAGAGCTTGGGTGATCTAATACAAAAACAAAGGGACTATAGCCATGGCAATTGATGGGAAGGAGATAAAAACCCTAGTAGGCCTTGCCCACTTGCTTGGAACTGGTGCAGATACAGCAGAAGGAGCAGTGAAATTGCTCTGCAAAGAGATGAATACTAGCTGAGTTAAGGAAAATAATTATTTAGGTGGGGAACAAAATAGCATGATGGAGGGAGGAGGGGACAAAGAGAACTGAGAAGGGAAAGGAAGCCTGAATTGTTTTAATGAGAGGGTGGAATACTTTGGGACTGATCTAAGTATCTGTATGCTTCACAGGGATTTGAATCAGTTTGCATCTTTTCATATAAATTGATCTATTCAATGCATGTTAAATTTCTTTGTTGATAGGTTGGGTTAAAATTATAGTTAATGAATAAATGGATGATAGAAAATAGTGGCAGAGGGAGATGGATTTACTGAGAGAGAGTGAAAATTTTGGAATTTGTGGGCATCTCCACATGAGACGCTACTGTACAGTGATCAGTGCACGTTTATTTAGTCCTTGATTGTAATCAAGGACCAAATAAATGTGCAGTAACTGGAGTTATTGTGCAGAAGCACCTTTTTTAGTGACACTACTGCGCAGTAGCTTAATACTGTGTAGTAGCATATTAGCAACGTTTATGCTGTGATGCTACCACACAGTATTATTCAGCTACTGCGTAGTTAGCGTCTCATGTAGGTATGTCCAGTGATTATTAAAGGAATGAACATGTCAATATGCATATGACTATTGATTTCTTCTGTTAGCTTCTCTTTTTATTTAATGTTGCATGGTATATAGGTGGGACATCTAGATCTGGCCTTTGGTGCCTGCAGGCATTATTCACTTTCTCTGAAAATTGTTAGAGGTAGCACTACATTTTTGGCAAAAATAAGTAGACTGATATAGAATATGGGTAGAATGAAATGGTCTTATACAGGTGGAAAGAACAGGTTTCAGTGAGACAGGCTCAGGACCCCCGCAAGCAGGGCATGTTCAGGCAGGTGGATAGGATGGAGTTGTGGGCATGTAGGGAGCAGCATCTGGGAGTGGGACAGGCAGGGAGGGCCAGGACTGGGATCACAAGGCAGTGACAACATAGGGTCAGGCCTGGGGTAGAGCTGCAATCTGCTGTCTGCATGCCCCTGCCCGTGGAACCACCACTTGTCACAGAGACATACAGGGAGCGGATCATGGCTCTGCCCCATGTCCTGGCCCACACCATCACTGCCCCACCCACCTGTCCCACTCCCTGGCCACCTACAGCCCCATCCCCTCTGCCTGTCCAAGAGTGCCCTGCCCACGCAGTTCCCAGGCTGGTCTCTGTGAAGACGCCGCCTGCCCACTCTGTTTGGTGCCCCCAGCAGTGGATGCAGGGGAAGACAGGCCCAGGGCCAGATAGGATCAATTACCACCCCCATCCCCCTGGCCAGGTCAGCACCCACTCTGAACCTTGCCTGCAGCAGCTCATTGATACTCCTTAAGTGGCCCTCCAGCACAAATAATTGCCAACCTCTGCTATAGGATAAAGTCTTCTGCATTGCTGTTATATAAAGATATAAAGCTGTCACAACAAAGTGCAAATATCAGAAGTAGCCAGCATCGCTCCACCCACTTCACTGGCTCATCTATGCCTAAATACAAATTTTCACTATTGCATGAATTGTTGTAAGACATGGCAAAATATTGCAAAATATTGCAATCCAGAATATTTCAGCATTTGGCCTCTTTAAAATAAAGTTTACATAGTTTGTGGGTTAAAATTTTTTTGGATTTTGTTTTGGGTTTTTTTTAATATAAATTATTGCTGTTTAACTTGGCAGAAATGTTTCGGAAATATCAAGGTTTGTTTCCTGGGCAATAAACAGCAGTTCTAGATGATTTGGTTTGGAAGTTAATCTGTACACAGAAGTATTTTCTAAACTCCATCTGTTTACTTGCAGAATGCCGTGTTATGAAATCACCTTATTCTCGTTCACCTGGTACAGCTAGGCATTCTGGATCCAAAAGCCCTGGACCTTCACGTCGAAGCAAGTCGCCTGCTTCAGGTATACCTATTAGAAAGACCAAAAACAGATTAAACTTACAATTTTGTTGTATGAATGGAAAAGATTGGGAGTTTTGTGTGAAGTGTAAATGCCACACTTAACTTCATAAAGAAGTATATGAATCAGTTTACACAGGAAATGCTGGGGCTTACACTAATTTGTAGCAGGAAATGGGTTTTTTCTGCATCCTGCAAACAAAAACTTTTTTTTTTTTTGTTACAGGCTAAACTTTTTAATTTGTGAACGTTACCCCAGGTTATACTAATCTAGGAGTTTATTTTCAGCATGGGGTTTGATTTCCTGAACATTCTTTTCAACTGTTGTGTGATCATATGATTAAATCTAATTCATTTCACTAAAATATACACATGGAATTTAAAATTTGCTTCCCAAAGGTGAACCATATAGTCAAAATATTGCATTTTGTCTCTTGGAAGTCATTTTTAGAAACCCCTCTCATTTCTTTTGGGAACTGAGGACCATCAAAAGATAGACTTTTTCCCCCCGTCTGGTCCTTCCTATAATTTCACAATAATGTCCGAATTGTTTCTTCACCTGATGCTAGCATTACTGAATAACACATGTTCCAAGTATTGGTTATCTTGATTGAAAATACAAATGAGCACAGTGGGAAAAGTTTTGCTTTTAGTTTTTAGTTCACATGTAAAACCTCTATATAGTAAAACTTAGTTGGATTTTTTTAAGAGTTGCAAAAGTAACACTGATATTGAACCCCTGAATACATTACACACACACACACACACTCTCTCTCTCTCTCTCTGAAACCTGTTTTAGACAATCCGTAAAACCCAGAAACCTGCTCAAGCCAGAAAATGTCTACTGTCCCACCATGCTTTAGAGGGAATTCTGTGTATTTAGTCTGTATAAGGTAGAAAGGGAAAGGAAATTTGGGGCTCATTTGCAGAATCATTCTGTATACCACTCTCAAGCACATTATGCCAACCCTCTTAGCAGCAGGACATTGACTGCTGTTGTCCCCCTGCTTTACTTGTGGCAGGTTAGAGTGTTATGCCTTGTAGTTGTGTCAGAGTTGACGGTGTAGCTTTACTAATTTTAGACAGAGGATTTTCTTAGAATGGTTTGGATATGGATGATCTGACATTTGGCAGTGGGTTGAACTAGATGACCTCCACAGGTCCCTTCCACTCCTCTTTTTCTTAGGATACCATATAATGGAAAGTAATTGCCTAGTGTGTGTGCATGCACAGTGTAAGTAGGAAACAAAGGAGCTGTGTTGGGATGCTGGAAAAGAAAGAATTCATGGAGCAGAGGGGCTGGTAGAGAGCACAGAGCAGACAGAGCCAGCAGAGTGTAGGGGGCCTGAGAAGTTCCTCTTTAAGATAGAAACTATTTAAGCCAGAACTCTTCCCAGTCTCATGCAATTCCATCGTAGGTTTCACTGTACATTTATAGTATCATGTTCTGGTTCTGGCTAGAGATGCAGCTCCTGTGTGCATATTCAAAACCAGAATATTAACTTCTGTACTTATTTTCAAATTAGTGTTTATTACTTTTCTGGGCTAATGCTTATGAAAGTCTTTAAAAGTAGGATATTCATCTTCTTGAATAAGGGTTAAATACTTAGCTAAAAGGCTTCAAAGAACAATTATAATTGCCACAGGAAATATAAGGGGTGAATTTTACAAGTGATGTACACCTCATACAATCCTATAAACTGTAGGTGGATTGCATGGATTGTAAATCAGCAATGAAGTTGCCCAAAAGTTTTAAACAGCAGGGGTCATACTGCCATTTTATTATTATTTATACAGTATTGTGAATGTAAGTACCGTTCTCCCTACACTCCTACACACACAAAGTAACGTTCTCCCTACACTCCTACACACACAAATAATTGCTGGTGCAAGAAATTTATTCCCACATGTTCTTTTATATGAAAAGAAAGAATAAAACTGTGATAAAGAACCTAAGTGACTGAGGTCCTGAAAGCTGAAAAATAAAGTTTCAGAGCCTGAATTTTATTGAAAGTGTCTTACTGAGAAGTTGGCTCTGAAATCGGTTTTGAAATTGCAATTTAAGTTGCTAGAGCAATCTGAAAATTTTACCCATGGTGTCTAGTATATAGGCTTGTATTTACTTAGTATTTTTTCTGTTTAGTCTTTATCTATCTTTATTTACCCTTCTTCCTTTCACGTACATTCAGACCTGTTAAATAACTTCTCTCCTTAATGTCTTTCTCCTTTTGTATCATGATTGAGTACAGTAAAGAGGGGTGGCCACTACTCCACAGCTTATTCTACAGCAAAATCCCCAGGTGAGCCATTATTATTATGGCTTTATATCACTAGTGTGTTTCCTGCCTTTTCATTTACCCTTCTTTCCATTTTCATGAATGTATTGTGGCTTTTAACATGCATCACGTGCTCTGCAAAACAAAGGTGTATTGCATCTATTTTATCATAGTAAATCTTTTGATTGAGGCAGAAAGCCTAAGTGATTTTTATAATTGTCAGTCATCTGTAGATGGTACCATCAAATTGTATCTTAATGAATCTAATTTTTGCTGCAAATACAGGAGTGGCTTTGGGAGGAACAAATTTATATCAGCATGATAATGAGAAATTTCAGCCAGTAAACAAGACAAGTTTACCTGAAGCTTAGTAGCGAGAAGTGCTGCAAATTTTGTACCAGAATTCTAATTTACCCAAGGATAAATTAGGCCCTGTATGTTTTGAAATTTATATGTGAGCCAAAATTAAACAAATAAAATCTTTCTTGGATCTCCAAAATAGTAAGCCCTAGACCCAGAGCCAACAAGTTCCAGTGTACCTAGAAGGGTATTTATGTGGAGAAAGGAACAAATGATCCTGATAGCATCGTAAGAAAAACTCACTCTCCTGGAAAACTATATGGATTTTTAATTTACAAATGGCTTGTGGTTTGTGGCCATGCTGGAAAAATAAGTTTAAAAACAAGACTGACTCAATTTTTAAACTATCTCATATGTTAGTGGAGAATAGGACCTTCCCCGGTGGATGGGCAAACTGGGGTTACTGCCCCAGGCCCTGAGCTTTGGGGGACTCCACGGAGTTGGGCCGGCTTCATGTCTGGTCACTTACCACCCCTCCCCACTGCCGCCCTGCACAAGCTGATTTGCCCCGGGCCCTGCACTTTGCTATGGTCAACTCTGGCGGAGAATAATATTATTAAGCATTTAAAAAACAGGGAGAGGGAGATTATTCTATCTGTGTTCTTCAGTGGCTAGAATACACTTGATACTGCCACATGTAAAGAAAACCCAGGTTCTGTTCCAATGATTTTACAGTTTAAGATTAGATTAGAAGCTTTGAAAAGATTATTTTTAATGAGAATGGGAAAAGAATGTACTGTAGTTTGAAGTGATAGCTGATTTTCCTTGTAAAATCTTTGAAGCTTCTAGGGCAAGATGTCTGCTCTGGAAGTTAAGGCTGAGCCTCTCCCAGGTTTGTGCCCTCTGAGATCTTTCCTTGCAATATTTACAACTGATCTTCTCTATAGGTCAAAAAACGGTTGAACTGTGTTTATCGGACAGCTTTTTGTTCTAAAGGACAATACCATGTGCCCTCTTATCAAATCTGGGTAGCTTAGTAAGGGATAAGAGTATTGGGAGGTCAGCAAACTATTATGGGATGTCCTGTCCCATAGAGATACAATAGGAAACGATCAACCACTGCCCAGTCACTTGCATGGATCTGGCTAATGGTCTTTGTTCTTACCTAAAATTTGAAGCTTATTTTTATGAACAATTTAAAAGACAGCCGTATCCCATTTTAGGAAAAAGTGGGCTCAGTATTAAGTGTTTCTAACAGGATTTGCCATGTGGCATGAGAATAGCTTAGAATCATGGTACTAACTGGCTAATAATCTTGGTAAAAATTACAGTATTGATAGGACTTACCCCAAAATACTAAGTCCTGCATAGGATTTATATGCATAGTATAAGCTGTATAAAATGAATCTTGAAACCATAAAAAGGACTATTTCTGCTCTTGTACCTCTGCATAGCCCATTTCAGGCAGATTTCTCTAGAGAAGTTTCTCTTTGTTCACACACACTTTTTCTTTTACAGCTAGAATTTAATTTTTGTTATGGTTTTCCCAAAAATAGAAAACGAATTAACGCTTAAAAAGCCCTTTTCACCCAGGCATTTAATCATTTTATTTTACAGACACAGTGGCTGATATGGAGACAATTAAGAGTTAAAGAATCTCAAGAACTTCCAGTACAATTTATGCTCCAAAATCCTTAAGAAGCTTTGAGTATCTTCCCGAAAGTGACTTACCCAAAATTGTATAAATCTTAGTCTTGCTGTCATTAAAGCCAAGACGAAAATTTGTATTAAGTGGAATAGGTTTAGGCTATCAGTGGGCCACAGCAGAGTGAGAAGCAGGAACTCAAAATTCAGTCTTGAATTTTAATTTCTTGGATAATGTTGGATTCCTATCCTTATCATCAGATATCTTGGAAGAGACATTTGTTGAGGAAAAGAGGGGTCTATGGAGGCTGATGAATAATTACAATAACCATTGAGATGACAGCTGTTCCAGCATTACAAAATAAAATAAAGAGCATATGTAGGAAGACTCATCAGTTCCCAGGGAATGTCAGTTCTGTATGTTGGCAAGTACTTGCACAGTAAAAACAATAGTGTTTATTAAAGGAGTAGCACATGGCCCCTTATATTCTTTACACATCCGAAAAGGTGTTGATGGGAACCCGTGTTTCCATGGGAACTAAATGTCTAGTTGGCAGTCTTTTAGTTGCCTTAAAGGAAATGTAGCTCCTCTCTGAAAAAAATTGATGCTTATTTTTTGTCCAGCTCTTTTTCCCAGGCAAGCAAGGTTTGGATTAAAAAAAAACAATAGAGTGCATCATGTAATAGGGAGTCCTTTGCTAAACCCAGTGAATAATATTTTTAAGTCTGTTTTCAAAGAATACAGGGCCTGATCTAGCTGCCATCCAAGCCAATGAAAATACAGTGGGTTTAACTGGGTGAATTCTAGAAAGGAAAGAGAAAATACTTTTTTCTACTTTAATTGCGCTATTTTATTATTGATGCTCAAAGTAATTCCTTAGAAGTTCATCAATGAAATGCTAAGCTTTTATAATATTTTGCTACTATAATTTATAGTGTAATTTTTACTTTCATAAGGGTTCCATGAGGACCAATTGCCTAATATTTCTGTTTTAGTATAAAATGAAAATAAACTATATTTGCATTATATTCCATATACTATATAGGTATTAAGTACAGAAAGCTATAAAGTGATATGTTGACTTTGCAAATGGAAAAAATGAGATCAAATATGTGGTTGGCAATTTATATTGTCTGTCTCAAGGTTTTGTCACACGGTATAAACCTGCAGCCTTTGTGCACCAAAAATTCTCACTGAGTGCATCTATGTGTTCATTAATGCACTGTAGTTACTGCGCATTCAGTTTAGTACTTGTATAACCAAGTACTAAATCTATGCGCAGTAAATGTCACTACTGCATGGCTTTTTAGTGATTCTAACTACTCAGTGGCCTAATACTATTGTGCAGTGGTGTATTAGCATGGTTTTTTCCCTGCACTCTACTGCGTAGTAGAATTAGGCTACCATGCAGTTAGCATCTTGGGTAGATGCACCCACTGGCAATGAATAGACTTGAAGATCCAGAATAGTAACGCTGGGTGCATCTACACATTCTCTCATGGGCGACTGATGCCTCCTGAGTTGGGGGGGGTAAGGGGGGGGGCACTTGCCCCCCCAGTGGCCAGTCAGCGACTGCAGCCGATTGCACTGACCACATGCCAACCCAGAAGCAGCTGCCTGGAAGTGCCAGTGGCATGCCTAGAAGGGCCAGCGGCACTTCTCCTGGTGTCCCCCCTTGCTGGTGCTCTCAGGGGGGGCACCAGTGCTCCCGCCTCTCCCCGCTGCCTGCCACCTAAGCAGGGGATGCTGCTGAGGGGGTACAGCAGCGCTCTCAGGGGGTACATGTGCACCCCCTGTGCATCACCATTGCATGGCCTTTACTACAGAGTAGAATAATTAGCTGCACAGTAGAGCATCACTGTCTACACATGTATTAGGGTGCAGTAAACTAATTAACTCTGCCATAAGATAGTACAGGCAGTCCTTGGACTTACAACACAATTGGTTCCTGAAAACCGCGTCTGAAATTGAAACGTTGTAACTTGGAACCAATTTTCTCAGAAGAAACAATCTTATAAATGGGGGATTGGTTCCTGAGCCAAGGCCCAATACCCAATTTTCACTAAAAATACCCCAGAATTTTGTACTCAGTCAATTATAGATGAGTAATATAGCTACATTAATGTATTTATATTGTAAAAAGCAATCATATTGATTTGGAAGGACTTCTTTGAGGGACTTTGCTGGACTTTGTGAAGGGCTCTTGGTTGGACTTTTTGAAGGGCTCTTGGCTGGAGTCTTCTCAGGAGTCTTGGCTGCAGGTTTTTCTGGAGTCTTGTCTCATTTCTTAAAGAACGTATCCAGGGAAGTTTGGACAGATGTTCTCCAAGGAGATGTGACGCAGTGAACTTGTTTGCTGGCATGGCGTCGCATTGGATCAAGCGTTGTAAAGTTGAAACTGACATCATAAAGTTGAAACATGGTGTCAATTTATAAACATTGTAAGTGCAAAATGTTGCAACTCAAAACGTTGTAAGTCAAGGACTGCCTGTACTACACAGCCCAACCAGCTGGGGGCCAGACTCCTACCTGGTGCCTAGCCACATGGCTCTACAAGTTCAGTACCTTTGTGCCCCAGCAGTCCTTCTGCTGCCCAATGCTGCCACCTGGAGCCCAGGGCTGACCCTCCTCCCTCCCCTCTCCCCGTACCCCTACCAGCCTAAGCCTACTTTGCCCCAGCTCAAATTGCTGCTGTCCCGGGTGCACATGTAGACACTGTGGCTAGGAGTACTTTACTCAGGCTCAAACTGCTCTAGAGTTTATTGCTTTGCATTAATTGCATGTGTAGATGTACCTGCTGTGTTTGTGTAGGCACCCTGTGCCGGTTTCCAGCTCTTGGGTGTTCTGGGGGACCAAAGGATGCACTATTATTGGGCTCTACACCTGATATTTGTTTGTACTGGGCCTGTTTGATCTGTATGTGGAGACCTAAATAATACCTTATCACAGGGACACATAGTCTTATAACTGTTTTTTTTCCTAATAATCTTTTCTTTCCCCCTTGTTGTTCTGATCAGTCAATGGAACGCCAAGTAGCCAACTATCCACTCCAAAATCTACCAAGTCCTCCAGCTCTTCACCAACTAGCCCAGGCAGCTTTCGTGGACTCAAGGTATGTACTGGAAATCTTGATCTTTGCAATTCACTATAAGCTTGCTTACTCATTGAAAGAAATTATAGGATTGTACTTGACCATAAAAAGTAAAACTATGCACTTACCCTGAAAAAAATGAAAACTCTTTCTGTTCCATGAGCAAACCTTGCTTGTATGTTTATTCATGTAAATTGGATAGGTGGAGATAAGAAGTGAGATTCTGTGCTGTCTCTAAAAACGAGGACTTTTAGTGGCTTTTACTTTCCTTTTTATGCCCTCCCAGTCTTGCACTTTCACTTGAACAGATGAAGCTTCTGGGGTAATTTATCCTTAAGATCTATATTGCTGTGTCTTCCACCAGCTGACTTACGGGATACAGCCCTGCCCACAATATCCTCTGCAGCACTGAATGGTGCTGTTCCCCTCTGACATACACATGTGTTATTAATGCACCCCTATTACTCCCTACAGGAGTAACTTTCTATATGGATGTGTTCTTCAGTTTCACAAAGAGGGAATCCTCACCTTTCTGCACCCAGGAAAATCACTCAATTCTGGGCCTTTTACCTTGGAGTTAAGGGACTGGGGAAGGGTTGAGGAGCTTACTGCTAGACAGTTGATATTGCCTCTTAGACAAGAATTTTCTAGTGAATACATCAGTGCCTACATCCAAAGGCACTGGAGGATATGCTCCTTGAGGAGTCTATTGGATAATAGCTTCCATTGATGAACACAATGGTGTGAAGAGGTGGCATAATTCTGTAGAAAGCAACAGTGTCACTTTGACACCAGCTGAAGGACAGATTGTGGTTAGAATGGTATTCGTTTGGGGTGAGGTGAGGTGAGGCTTATTGGTTTCTTTTTCAGAAGTTAGCGACCTATGGCCTGCAGGTGGGATCTGGTCAGTGGAACTGTTGGATCCAGCCCACAGACATGGGGTTTTGGCAGCATTTGGCAGCAGGGGGCTTTGGTGCTCTCTCCGTGCAGCCGTTGAGACAAGCAGCGGCAGCTGCTTGGTCCTAGGGCCTGCCCGTCTCTGATATTGGGTGGGTCATTCTGGCCTGTAGCTGGAAAAGTTTGCCTATCCCGTATATATTTTGACTGGAATATGCTCTGGTTTTTGTCAGGCTTCTGTGGTGAGTCTGCCAGAAAGAAATTTTATTGTCTTGATAAATGCCATTATGTTTTTTGAATTGTTTGGCTTGAGTAGTGCAATGTATTACTTCTGCTTTGAGACCATGATCCTGAGCTACACCAGGTTCTTGTGCCTTTTGCCATATATGGACTTAGATTGATATGGACTTCACTGGATACTTTTGTCGTTCATGTGTAAGAACAATAGCAGTTGGCTCTGAAAATCTCTGGTGTTGTATACTGCAACACCAGCTTTGTTTAAACTAAGGCTGTCCATTCAGTTTGGTCTGCACCTACACTTAAGAGAATTTTTTGCCTTACTATAGTGAAATTACAAATGCAGAGTTATAGGTAATTACTGCTCCAGTTTTTCTACACTACTTGCTTTTAGTAGATTATTATTAAGTACTATCAAGATGGAGATAATAGCTGACAGCAACAAGCTAACATTAAGGGCTATTTTTAAAGGAGAGGGAAAAGTCCTTCCTCCCTTTTACTGTCAGTTTCAGCCAATTAGATTCCACAGTAATTTTCCATTTTTTAAAACTGTAATTGATACTTGAAATTAATGGATTTTCATGTCATGCTAGGCTTGTACCAACTGCCAGCAAAAATAAATCATTCATCCCTAAAACTGTACAGTACTTATCAAAGTAGTAGCCACTTCCCACTTTATCCCATGAGTATGCACCTGTTCAGAAGTAGATCCCAGCTATATGCGATTACCAGAGGCATCGGTAAGGTTAGCTAATAAATCTTCAGGTTGGTGCCAAAAAGGAGTTAATGAATTCTGTCATGACATTGTTCCTGGGATATATTCCCAACAATCATGTCTGTTTTCTGGGAAATAGTCCAGCAAGCACATATGAGGTTCAAAGACATAAACATACAAATAATAAGAGTACTATTATGGCATGGTTATAACTGAATCCTCTCAGATGTTTTTAAGAGAATGTTAATATTTTTGTGGTTTTAGATTTGACAAGTCTAAAACAAAAAACAGAAGAAAAGGAGAGAGAGAGAAAAATTCAGTTTGGGGTTTTATAATCCTTGTCATGTCCCACTGGTGATGTCTCTTGGTGATGTCTCTTGCTGCTAGAGCTGTTGCAGACCACCCTTACACACATAAGCTGGCTTCCTGCACTCTGCACTTGTAAAAAGGAACAATAGTCTGGCAGGTGACAGTGATCGTAGCCTTGAGAAAGTGTAAATATAGAAAATGTAGCAGGATATTTTTCACAAAAAAGGCACAAGATATGATCCAGGTTTAGGAAAGTTAAAGTGTAGGCTGCTCTTTTTCTAGTACATATGTACATTTACTTTTTAAAAATAACATTAAAAATTAGGAAGATGTTAAAAGAAATTTCTTATCTTTTATATCTGCATATGATCAACATGTCATATGGTAGCGGTTTCTTCTGTAATTCAAGTCATTGCATTTTCACTTTTCCTTTAACTTTTTTTTCTGTGGCTTAAAAAGAAGCAGCCAAAATGTTCAGTTTAATCCCCACAAATGCTGTGTAACTGATTACTCCCCTTCCTTAAGGGTAGTTCATATTCTATGCAGAAAAATGTCTTGTTAATTCTTTGATAAAAAGGTTAACAGGTCTGGTAGTGCTGTTTGGTGCTGCATGATCATTGTAGCCAGTTATTGCAATGTCTCTTTGTCTGAAAAAGAGAAATCAGGGTTGATTTTCAACTTATTGAAATGAGCTTGCAGTAAGAGCAGCTGCACACACAATTCCCTTGTTATACCAGTATTGTCTTGACCTAAAGAGTGAGGCACCTGGCAAATGACAGCGGATTTTACTAGAGATAGAAGCTGGATAATAAATTCAAAAGATTGGGGTAGTACTTGAATGGTAATTCTAGTCATCAGAGCAGTAGAATAGGAAAATATACTGACTGCAATAGCTATTTTACTTTCTTAATCACAGATCCTTAGCTTTACGTCATATTCTCTGCCAGCTACTTTTCCTACAAAGTAAAGAGAATGCGTGTTCTCTTCCCAAGGTTTTCCCAGCCTTCTCAGCATTGTTTATTCAGTAGCAATAATGTTTTCAGGGCCAGAAAGTCAATTACAGGGAGAGACTTATAATGAATGGCTTATCTTTTAATAGAGGGTATTTTTTGATAAACTCTTTCAGTCCAACATGGATTGTTGGACAGTACTTTAACTTGCATGATTAAGATCCCAATCCTGTAAAATTTGTATTTTAGCCTATGTGGTGATATTGCAGTCACTAGAAATTTAACCAAAGTAAAGACTGCAGAATCAGGCCATATTACAAATAAATGGCTATATTTGTTACATGATGGAAAGGAGGTTAATATTATTTGCTGCTTTGTGAAGATGGGTTAGTGCAGGGCTGTCATACACACTGAGGGTTCCAGGATGGTTCTGTACCCCACAGCTCCTAGGAAAATGGACTTGTGGGGCAAGCAACAGTGGCAGTTGGTGGCTGTAGCAGGCTGGTGGTTGCAGTAGTAGTGGTGATGGGCAAGCAGCCGCAAGGCAAACCAAAACCAGCCAAGAATATGATATTAGTACAGTTAAGTGTGCAAACACTTACACAATTCACAAGTTAAACCCAGATATTTCAAATATGAATCCACAGTTATCAAAAACATTCTGACCTATTCTGGTGTTTGAGTTATTTGCTACAGAAGAATGGCTCTATTATTTTTCTGTAGTTAAAAAATGAGTGAAAACTAAGAGCTCCCACTTTCCGAAGAGTGTCTTGACTCTAAAAAGGAGCAACTTGATCTGACAAGGGGTGCCTTGAGTCCAGAGATGGTCAAGAATCTCTTCATTAGAGGTTTATTTCTTGAGGGCCTGAAAAAGCTTTGTTTCAGGCTGTGAATGTAGATGTGAAATATAATAGCACTAAATGGAAGACTGCTGAGTAATGTGTGAGGTATATCATTTTTACATTATAACAGAGGGCGAGATTTGCTGATCCATGACACAATGTGGCAATCAAACAAATCATGATGGTGTCTTGGATGATGCAGGAAAACTTAACATGTACAACAGTGCTTTTTCTGTTCTCTAGAAAGATTAGTTGAAGAATACAGCCTTTCTAGCTGGCTTTATATGCATCTTCAGTGACCCAGATCTCTAAAGCTCTTAAAGTACATATTTACTCTTAGTTCTAGTATATCTATGGAGTTTACATCCTAAAAATGTAACACCCTATTTGAAAACAGGGTCTGAAGTTACTGAAAGAATACATTTGTTGCCTCATACTTAATAAAATATTTTTAAACCTGGTCTCTAACTTCCTGGTGCTCTTTTGAATGTACTGATTGTGAAAAGCAGCCAAGATTTAGAGAGGGTTTTTTTTCATTTTTTGTTTTAAGAGGATAGAATGGAAGCCTCTCAAACTAGTTAGTTCAGCCAAAATTTTTCAGTTTCTTTTTTTATTCAAAATATTTTCCGAGTCCACGCTATTCAAATCACAGTAGTAGCACAGGTTAGGAAATATATTTAGTCAGCATACTTGTTTTCCCCTGCATTGTATGTGATTCCTCATAAAGTTTAGCCTGACTTTGCAAATTTCTGTAAGTAAAGACACTTCAGCTTTGAGGGACCCTGATTATGCAACTAAGCGTAACTGGGTTTTAATTTTTGTTTATGTTACATTTTAATTTATTAACCAAAAGATTAAGATAAAATATATTAAGGCCCTGATCCATCAACTCACTTAAGCCACTTGGAAGTCCTTTTGATTTCAAGGGACTACTAATGATTTTAAAATTAAGCATGTGTGTTTAGTGATTTGCTGGATCAAGCAAGCCACTCTTCTTCAAGATTTTAACTTCCCATCTATTCATATTAGCAAAAGAAAGTTTAGAAGTAGAATTTTTATGCAGTTGCTTACCCCCTACTAAAGTAGAAAGAGTGAAGCATCTAAGCGGAATCCTTTACTTCCTGCCTTCAGATAGCATTTAAACACCTTCACTTCACATATAACAGATAGAAAGAGTTAACCTGTTTGTGTTTGGAAGAAATCATAAGCATGCCCATTAGTATGAAGTCCATCAATATCTGTGATAAATGGTATAAGAATTCTGCATATGAATTACTCTAAGGACCCCTCTACACATGCAGGCAAAGGCGTGATGGGATCTAATGCACCATCCACACTGTCGCACCTCCTGCCATGCCACACATACGTGGCAGGGTGTGTGATTGTGCGGCTCACGCATTAGAACCCTTTACCCCTTATTGCCGGTGCAGGGGGAGCCCAGGATTGAGGTTCCCTTGCATCAGCGAGAAGCAAACTCCTGCAGCTGGTAGCTCTCTCAGCTGACAGAGCTCTGGCTGCAGAGGTGTGCCATGTGCTCCCGTGGCTGGGAGTCCCATCAGCTGACCCGGGCTCCCAGCTGCAGGGGTCTCCCAGGGTTCCTCATGGCAGGGAGACCACAGCTGACATGGTATCCCAGCTGTAGGAGTGCACGCAGCTCCCCTGTGGCTGGGAACCCCATCAGTTGATGGGGCTGCCAGCCCCTAGGCTGGGAGCCAGCATGAGCTGGCAGCTCCCAGGCTTGAGTGTGCACATGGGACCCCCCAGCTGGGAGCTCCAATTAGCTGATGGGACTCCCAGTCATAAGGGCCCATGGCTACATGTTCAATTAATGGCATGATAGGAAACAGCTATTTTATATATTTTGTGAAATAATGTTGTCTTTTTCCTCTTTTTATCATGCCATTAATTGACTGAACGTGTGACCCGGTGACCACTTAAGGTGTGATTAACTGGTTAATCACACCTTAAGTATAACATGTAGATAGGGCCTAAATCTCTCTAGAAGAATGAGGTCAGTGTGGTTCTTCAGCAATTGTAATGCACCAGGCAATTACTTGATCATATTGAGGGAAATGTTTATACACTGAGTACTTGTTGTATGGTGTACCTACCAAGCGTGGTACTTCTGGATCCCATTTATATCAGATTTACCCCATGAAAACATCAATGAAAGATTTTAATCAAACAGAAGACAAGACAATAAATTACTGCAGTCCTTTACTCCAGTTTGGAGTCCGGTGATACAAACTGAAATGAACATGGAAAAATAAACGAATGTGTCATAGACCGTGAAGGCCTATTGTAAGTCAGTGCTGGCTCAGAGCCTGTGATCTGCTTGCATTCCCTGGTGTTGTGCAGAGCCTTGTTTCAGCAGATACTGAGCTTAAGGCAGAGATGCATTTTAATTCTTTGTATTGAGAAGTACTGTAGTGTAACCCAAGATGTGAACCAGGCAGAAGCCCCAGGGAACAGGGAGGAGTGTCCTGTGAAGGAGTAAGACAGTGCTATTACACGTCTGTGTTTCATAATGCCAGTCTTCAAAGTGTCTTGCAAAACTATGTGAAACAGCACTCTGCTACAGAAATGGTGTTTGCTGTGTTTTACTGCCTTTAATTCACTACATAAAGGTTTTTATTTTCCTTGTTAAAGTAAAACTGCATTGCTTTTATGCTGTTGAATGGTGTGAAGAAAGAACTCTCCTTAACCAGTCATGAAGGTAAAAATTAACTTGAGTACCAGTACATTAGAATATAAGTGCCGTACTGGATCAGACCATGGTCTATCTAGCCCAGTCCATCCCGTCTTTGAGGGCCGTGCCACACATTCAAATTAAAGCTGGATCAAAACCAGCTATAGAGTTGTTACATGCTTTCAAGCACTAACTCTGTAGCTGGTTGGCTTTTTTATGGCCAGCTAATCATTTTTATGGTGCTATATTTACTTTGTACCTGTGACTGGTTTCAAAATTGTTTTCTCTGTCACTATTATTTTTATACATTAATATACAGATATTAAAACTTTCATTGTACTGTTTAGAGGCACAGCAGCTTAAGACCCTTTTAGGTGCTTTTTTCTTCAATAGTAATCTATTAAGGTGAAGAGTGCTCTATATAAACTGAAGTTTAGTACCTGCAGACTGCTAGGACCAGATTCTCCTTTTAGGCACAGAAGCTAGTAATAACAAAGTAAGTTTCCACTCAAAACTGTGAACAGTTTTCTGCATCAGTTTATAGTGAGCCTCAAATTCAGGTCTCTGTGCATTTCTTTCCCATGTGTTTCAGTACTAATTTAAATAGATCAAGCATCAGAGTGACAGTGGGGAGGTTCAGTAAGTAAAACTACTAACTGAGGTGGTATTGTGGAATATTAAATGAGACTCTGAACCTACAGGGGCCAATGCACAGCTTGAGTAATAGTTCATTTTTATTGGTGGGTTTGAATCTGTGGCTTTGAGGTGACAAGTTTGTGTATTACATTACTTATCCTTTGAGCAATCTAATCTCTTGTGATTAGGAGGGAATACACATGCTCTGACTCCCTTGTGACCATATCTCACTTTATGCACCTGGAGAGAATTTCACTCACTTGTAATAGTCCCAGTAAAATCAGTGGAACCACTTATGTTAATAGGGACCTCAGAGTTGGATCAATATGAATGCATTAATGTAAAGTAATAATCTGGAACTTTGAGGAGAAAAATTTTGAAAATGAAAGGGAAGGGAATAGAACTAGTTTTTAGGGTTGCACTGATATGATAGAGATTTTTGGGCCAATACTGATGGCCAATTTTAAACGAGCCATATCAGCCAATCCAATCCGATTCTGATATGCGGCCCCACAGCATGAAGAACAGCTTGGTCCAGCTAGTAAATCTGTTGTGGGGGCTGGCATGGAAGGAGGGAAGGCGTGTGCAGGGGGGGCAGATCAAGGCCTTCACAGTGAGGGAGGGAGTGGGAGTGGGGCTGGTGCTGCCCAGCTGAGGTGGGGTGGGGCACAGGATGAAGCCTCAGCTCATCTGGGAGATATGGGGTGGGTGGCTCCTGCCGCTGCACACACCCGAGGGCACGAGGAGAGTGTCCCCCCAGATCTCCACATGGAGTAGGGTGGGCTGGGGCAGGGGGGCTGCGCCAGGCTCTTCCCAATGGGGGGACTGGGTGAGCTGCACTCAGGGTGGGCAGCGGTGGCACTGGGAGTAGGGCTGTGGCAAATTTTGGGGTGGCTGCAGCCCCACAACCCTCACTCCTAGCATTGCCACCACTTCCTGCCCCAAGCACAACCCAGCCCAGTCCCTCACTGGAAAGAGCCTGGCACAGCTCTGGCCCCAGCCTGCAGTGGCAGTCTGCCTCACCCCATGTGCAGATGTGGGGGCATATGCCCCCCATGGTTGCATGCAGCAGCAGGAGCCACGCCCCCCGGATGAGCTGCAGCTCCCTCCCATGCCCCACCCTATCCCAGCTGGGCAGCACCTACCCCTGCCCCACTCCCACTCCCTCCCTCGGCATGGGGGCCTTGATCTGCATGAGGCATATATCAGCCACATCAGACAAAAAGGCTGATTACCAGTGCTCTCAATTTTCCTCATATCAGTACCGATCTGATATGGGACCAATGTATCAGTGCACCTCTACTAGTTTTTGTAGCTTTTTAAAATTTACTATGCTAACGTTATCAGAAATAACGGTCTGTTGCTTGTTTTTGTAGATTCTTCCTCATGGTGGGTCTTCTTCCAATGTGAATGGTGTACCTGAAATACCCCATTGTGAAAGTCCCGAAGGTAGGAGCTTAAACCACTAATTACTACCATTTTTTGCAAAATCTTTGTTTACAAGTTTGTAGTTGTTAGGTTGGAGATAGGAAACTATGTTAGCAACTCTGTGTTAAATTCTGTTCTTAGATATTTGACAATTTAACTAGTGTCTTGAAGAAGACACTACTGTACTTGCTTTATCAGGACTGTAAAGAGAGAGAACATGAACCCTGATTGTTCCCAGGTTATTGTTTTTCCTGGAGCAGCCATTTTTGCTCTGGGAAAAAAGTTCTGAACATCTGTCCACTGTCCTAGGAGCAGCAGCTCTCCCAAGAGAACCTGAATGTCTGTACATGATTTAAGATTTGATTATAAACAAAATTGTCTCTTTGTCAAATGGTAATACTTTTGGTGGTTTGTAGGTCAGTTTTTTATTGGAATATGAATTAGTGATGCTGAGTCATTTACAAAAAGTACCCAAGTACTGTTTCCTGGAATAGACATGATAAAAGATCCCTTTTGTGGATGCACTGCACTGCAAAGAGGCAGTGGTCTTAAGTCTCTTTCTCTCTTAGTTTCCCCTAGAATCTCAGTGCTCAAAACAATTTGACTCATCCCCTGGACTTTACATCTAGGAAAGCCCCTGAACATAGTTCCTCATCTGGGTGAGACAATCTTAAAATATGCCCTGACCATTAATTACTCTTTTGTGGAGCTGTTTTGGATCATGGAAAAGGTTTTGCTTCTCAGAGAGTGTTGTAACCTACACAGTCCTCTTAATTACTGCCTGGGTACTGTGAGTTACAAGTCCTAACATAAGTGCTTATTGTAATAACAATATCTTCTTGATGCACTTTTTATAAGTTAATATACATAAAAGGTGGTTCTGATTTTCTTTTAATGTATTGGCTTAAAGATCAAGGACACCTTATAAAAAGAAGCCTCTATATTACTAAGGAACTAACTTCCCCTATTGAGCCTGCCAACATGCCAGACTTTTTATCAAATTTTCTTTAGAGGTTACTCATTCATATTTATAATCACCTCCTTATTCTCAAGCAGCAGTGCTATCTCTAGCAACAGCTTTACTGTGTCATTAGCTTTGCAGGTTACAGCATTTACCAGAATAGTAATGAAACTGTACTTCTGCTACTTGTTATAACAGTGTGGTCAAGGAAACTTTAAAAAGTTCAGTAGATGGAACTTGCCACTGCCCATTTATAAAACTCTCAGGAAGAAGTGCTAGCAAGTTGTTTCCTTAATGAAAGCATCAGTGAAGATAAATCCTATAGATAGCATATATAAGACCAACCTGGTTTCTTGAGTGCTCCTGGAATACATGATGAAAGTATTACAATCTCAGTCTTCAGTATTTGTTTGGATATTTTGTAGCTTCATGGAAAAAGCCTTGCAGATGGCTTGGCTAAGAGTTTCACTGTCTATCCTAAACAAAGTGGAAAAAAGAGTTGGGTTAATTATTTTTATGAAGTAAGAATTTCCCGAGGAAGAACTGTGATATACTTCATTAGTCATTTGAAAATATTCCTTGCTAGTTAAAGAAAATTTTTACTTAGACAATTTCCAAATGTTTTGTAACTGCACTACATACATTCTTTACATGCAAGAAAAATGGTAATTTAAAAAAAAAGGGAAATTTAAAAAGGGAAAAGAAAGCTCTTTAAATTGAAAGTTATTAAGGCAGAAACACAGCTGCAGTTAGATGTTATAACTATCTTTTAGTCTGTCATCATAAAATAATAACATATTTCCCTTAACATTAGATAGGACAAGAAGGTCTTGCTGTTTAGAATATTAGCTTTCCTTGTTCAATTTTCTGTTTTGAAATAAAAACAAGCAAAGAAAAGAGGTGGTTTTTTAGTTCGTATTTTGTCTCAGAATATATTTACATTGAATTCTTGGAGTCTGTGGGGATGTACAACATCACTGACATCTCACTTCACCTTTTTATCATCTCCCTTGTTTTCCTGCAGGTGTGAATGGAAATAAATTCTCAAGCTCTTCCACTATTCTTGAGAAATATAAAGTGGGAAAGGTGATTGGAGATGGCAATTTTGCTGTAGTAAAAGAGTGTGTTGAACGGTGAGCAGGGAAGCTATTTATTTTGTTAAATCTGTTAACTGCTTGTTTAGTGCTGTTTATTTCACCAAGTTAAACATTGAATGTGTAGTAATATTTTTAAGAAGAGTGTATTTTTATACGTAGATGAAGTTACGTAGATAAGAAATGTATGTGTATGTATATACATAATATGTACAAGAAAACAATGAATATTTACAAGAACCCATGAAACAATATAAAAATAAAATGAACTAGATAAAATTTGGCTTATTGAGAGCTAACAACGATTGAGGGGAGAGAAGAGAAGTGAAAATAAGTAATCTTTACATGTCTTTGACAATAATTGAACAACATAGATGACAACAGAAAAACAAATCTAGTACCAGGCTTTACTGTATCACAGTTATAAACAACTAATCCCTGCAGCAGTGTATTGAATACAGTACAACCTCACTGTGACAAATCTCCATGGGATGGTAAAAAAAGTTCATTAAAAGAGGGTGGTCAGTATAATAAGGTTAGTCAATTTGCTGCATCTAAAGAATGAAAAAAAAATGGTTCCCCCGGCTAGGATTATTTAAAGCAAGGTTTTTCTATAAATGGGGCTTGTCATAATGAGACTGTATTATATCTAGCTCTGCAAAATTAATGCCTGAAGTAAAACTTCTTTCCCCAAAGTTGAAGCATCCTCATATAGCTCAAACTCCTCTTATAGAAGGAGTTCAGGGAGTATCTCATGTAGGCAGGGTTGGGGTTTATTGATCAAAAACAGCACCTTAAACCTGGCAGGTACACAGATTACAAAGCACTGGTGTAATGTGCTCCTAGTCAGATACTTTGGTTAACAATTAGGCTTTCAATTTTACACCTACTTCAACATGTGTTTTTATGCCAAAAAGAGAGAGTTCATAGCTCACTTGAGGTGACAAAGGGGTGAATTGCAGAAGAGACGGCTATACAGATAGAGATGTAAAAGAAGAAAGATATCTTGGCTGCTACTGATATCTGCTTATCCTTCAACAAATGGAAATTTTATCAGACTCCTACCTTGCAGATACAAGTACAAATGATGTGTAAAGATTCAGCACCAATCTTTGCCGGGACTTCTGGTCACTTCTTTTACTTTCCCACTTCCATTCAGCCTTATCAGATCGGGCCTCAGCCAGCAGGCTTGAGCACCTGTCCCTTTTCCTGGCCCCTTTGAGTTCAAGTGATAGTGGCTATATATTTTAAATATAGCGAAGTTCACATCTTAGGAATTAAAATGTTCTTTAGTAGTGTGTTCATCCAGATGCAGAAGATTGTGCTCACATGGGATCATGAACTTGCTTCACTGATTTAACATTTCCATAGTTTTCTACCCTTGAAACTTACAAATTTTAAAATAATTATGGAATACTTCTCCTCCTCCTGAAGTGGTGCATGGTTCCCTCTCCATTAATCAAGGAGGAAGGATGAGCCTTAAACATATGGGCTAGGGACAGACATTACACATAAACCAGTTTCAGCGATCAGAAACTGGTTTAAACCTGTAACAGAACAGACATTCAGTGCACATAAACCAGTTTCAAAATGGCCAAAACCAGTTTAAGATAGACCTGGTTGAATGTAGTAACAGACTTAACTGATTTGGCTCAAACTGGTTTATGCAATGTCTGTCCAGGACCTCTTGCTGGTTCAAGATAAACCAGAAACCTCCAGCATCCCGGCATGCTCTCTGGGCTGGGTGGGACTCTCTGCTTCAGCCGCAAGGCTGACCCCAGCCCTCCGCTCTCTAGATGGAGCAGGGACCAGTCCTAGTAGAGACATTGGCGGGCATGGCCCCATTAAGGCAAAGTGGGCAGGGAGGGGGTTAACTCTTCCCTCCTTCCCCTCTTCCCCCACCGCAGCCATGGTCAGCCCGTCTGCTAGGGAGCAGAGAGGCGGGGGCTGCAGTGGTGGCCCCTGGAGCTCAGAGACCCCAGCTGCAGGTAAGGGATGGAGGGAGGAATTAACCGTTCTCCCTGCCCCCTTCACCTTAACGGGACCATACTGGGTTGGTTGTCCCACAAAGTGGGGAGGGGCACTCTGTTCCATGCTGGGAGGAACTCTTCCCCCCAGACGGTCAGCGGGAGTGCAGAGCTCACCGGAGTAGGGTGTGGGTGTGTGGAGTGTGAGAGAGGGTGCGGGGTGTAGGGACCCCAACACACTTCCCCAATGGCATGCAGCCCCTGTGGCCTGGCAGCAGCAGCAGGCAGGGAGGTCAGGGCACTTGTGCCCAGCACAAGCGAGGTTCTGGCCAGCACTGCATGCGGGGGAGGGAGCAGAGCCTGCCTTATCCCTGTAGCTCTGCTCCCTGAGCCTGCAGCTCCAGCACTCACAGTGGGGGAAGCCCCGCAATGGAGCCAGCTGCTTCCCCCGTTCCCTGCTGTGCAGGTCCCGGCACTCTGCTAGGAGTGGAGAGAGTCCCACCTCCTGCTTCCCCATAGAGTCCAGCACAGGGCTTCCCCTCTGCAAGTGAGGAGCTGCAGGTGTGGAGCTCCAAAAATTCCTGGAGCAAAGGAATCTAATTACAAATTATAAAGTCTCATCATAGTCTTAATCGCTCATGATAGATCTTTCAAAGATACCTCTGCTGATTCATGAGCACAGATGTCAGAACAGGCTGGCTACTGCTGCTCAGCCTCTCTGCCTCTCTTCATGGACTCAAGTGTCTTGTCATAAGTAATAATCCCTATCTCTCTGTGACCAATCCTGGAGTTTCTCAGGAATCTTATCTAGCTAATTCCACCCCATTGCCTGAGCAAGTGCTGGGAGCCAGTGCACCAAACTGTGTAAGACCCTTTCATCTCAGTGCAGGCCATTGCCACTTGAAGATACATTCTTCTAAGCTAGCTCACCTAAATTTCTCTCTGCTTTTCAAAACAACGTTCAAAAGTCTAGGCATCTACATCCTGGAAGTTTATATCTGCTTCACTTTATCTACAAAAGCAAATGTCCCTTGGGCAAAGGAAATAATACCAAGTAAAATAGCACTTGTAGATAAGCAAGCCAGACAAAAATAGAAATGCCTTCCCTTACAAAAGCTGGCAAAAGCAAATAGCAAATGAAATCTGACAATTGTAGATCCCTCCTTTTTGTTACAAGATTCCCCTCAACTGACAATATTAGTTTTAAATGTTTATGTTGCAAATGTTCATAAGAGGAAGTCCTTTCCTCTTCATAAGATTGTGATTTTTTTGTCTTTTATTTTTACTCTTCAGAGCCTGTTTTACAAATGTCCAAGGCTTGTGTGTTAAGGAGTATGGAGTTAGAGGTATTACTTCCTAAAGCAAACCAGACAACTAAATTTGATCCCACTGTACATAGTTACTACTTCAAAGCACCTTTTGTCACATATTACAGCATGCTGGGACTTAGGCTTATCCTGTCTTTCAACATTAACATCTTAATTCCTAAGCAATTGAAGAACAACTGGAGCTCTGGTTTCCAAAAGCTTTCACTAGTCCGCTGTGGAAATCACTCTTTTCCTTTTTGGGAGACTTCATGCAAATAAACAATACAAAGTTCTTGTAATAGCTATAAAGAGATTATGTTCTCAGCCATTTCATTTTGCAGAAAACTACTTGTAGGAGAACCAAGTTATAAAACGTAACAATCTTTTATGGTGCAAAGGCTCAAACTTGTGCACTTAATGCAACCTGTAAACTGGTTATATTGAATTTGTTGTCTATGGATTCAGCAGCTCCTGTAAAATGTTTTGAGATCTGAGGGTGTAGGATAACATTTTCAAAAATATCTTCATCCTCTAGTTACAAAGGGAAACAGTATCTAGAAGTTAGCTGAAAACATGCTCTGTATAGAGCTTGACCTTCATCTCTGCTGCCTTCAGTGACTGGAGGTGTTGAAACCATTGGATCAGAAATATACCACAGTAGCTGGTAATACTAAAGGGGAAGGAAATGGTAGTCATGAATACTCATAATCTGATTGTCATTAATTAATACCTTTCAGTTCCTGTTATTATACCACGCAGGAGCCCTAGTTATAAACCAGAACCTCATTGTACTAGGTGCTACACACGCAGAATAAGAAGATGGCCCCGTCCCAAAGGGCTTACAATCCAAGTGATTTTAAGAGACCACAGATGGATACAGGCAAATGGACATGGGGAATACAAGGCAACATTGATAGTGCAGGTCAGACTGCTAGATAGTGGTATCAGCACACCAGCACCACAACCATTGTCAAGGTTAATATGGAAACAGTGTTTTAGCAGGATATGAAGTCTGTTAATGAGGTAGCTTTGCAGGTGTTCATGGGGCTCTCCCATTCTTGTACAACATAGCATGTGAAAATGTTGAACAGTTAAATGGATTTTACAGTTATTTATTTGATTATGTTTTTGCATGCTTTTAGGTAGATTACTTGAGTAGCGTAGTAAGCAGTTTTGTTGAATTATACAGTATCTGCTATACAGGGCTACATGGATCTGCTTAAGGAGACAGTCTTCCTCAAATGCCATCTAGACAGAATTTCTTTTTCTGTGCTAGGCTGGGTCAGGTTGTAACTATGACAACGTAGCAGACACAGCTGCACCTTCAAAGAAGAGATCCTCTTACAGCAGTGCTCACTGTGAGCCTTTTAATACATGAATTAATGCCTCCATTTGTGAGGCACTACTCTTGATTAGATGTATCTGAAGCAAAAAAGTATGGTTAGAAATGTAAAATGCGTACCTAAGGTTACGTAGAGAATTCTGCTTTTACAGCAAATATGTGTATTTGTACAAGATACATTGCATTGCAACAGGGCTGTGATCCTCACAAGGGCCTGTAGGTACTGTTGCAATACAAAAGGCAATAGTTGTAATAATGGACTTACTAGATTTCTCATAGTATTTAATATATTTACAGAATGCCATTCATAACTGTGAGGAGTAATGTTTCACTCCTAGAAGAGGCCAAAGACAGGTCATTCTTCTTGCTTTTCATTTCTTTCAATACTTTTTTGCCACGGAGAATCATTTGTAAAAACTCTTACCTTAGCATTTACTAAAAACAGACAACCTCTCTCTCTCTACTAGTTTGTTTATTTGTTTCCAATCTGTCAAATTTCTATACAGATGTTGGTCGCAATGGATTTTACATGGTAGTTCCAAAAAACTGAAAAAGTGCCTATTAAATCCTCTAAGAGTTTAGAATAATTGCCATAGAACTTCTACATTCCTTGGGACTTTTCCGTAAAGGCTGTCATGTTCCAGGTTTTTTAGCTTGTTGCTGATTACCCTACACATGAGTCATCTAACAAAGCTTTGGTCCTATCTTCCTATCTTTATTCAGTGCGATTTGAGGTGGACGGTTTGGGGCAAATTTTGCACCTGGCATTAATACAGTGGCATAACATTATATTTGGTCTTATTAGAGTGAGTCACCACTCCGGTCCTGGGATTAATGAACAAAGCGAAGTAGGTAGTGGTAGTCAGGGCAACAGCAGGCATGACTGTCAGTGACAAAAAAGAGAAGCAAAATGAAATCAGTTCTGCCATCAGTTTTGTCAGCTGTTCCCAAGGGTGAACAGATTATATTATGATGACATATATTCTTAGAGATAACCAGAAACAGGTAGTTAACTAATGTTTCTCTTATTTTTCTTGTTAGAGCCACAGGAAAGGAGTTTGCTTTGAAGATCATAGACAAGGCTAAATGCTGTGGAAAGGTAACGTAAGCCCATTTGCAGGCATAAAAAAGTACCAAAAATAGCATTCACAGCTGCTAATTAGTAAAAAATGGTGTGTGTTTGTGTTTTGTAGAACTGTGACTTTTCAGAAATATCTGTTTAGCAGTGTTATTCTCCACCCAAAATGCAAAACCCAAAATTGTTAGCAGTGTTAGTCTGTGAGATCCTAGAACAAAAAAAAGAACTAAACAAATTGTCATCTCTTTTATTTGAGTAACAAAGGGAAATGCAGTATTGGGACAAAATGGAATAGAAAGAGAGAACACCACAAGGTATTGATGGTAAAATCTTTGGGAGAAGAAATGCGTCTCTGTGCTCGTACTTCATCTAGTGTAATGGGGCCCCAACACTGATTGGGGCCATTGGAATGGCCTACTATATTATGCCCAACATCAACAGTAGTAATTATTTTAACCAAAAATGTATTGAGATTGATTCCTATAGCCTATGGTTACATCATCCTACTTCATCTTTTGGGGGCTAAGGACTGCGAGAGTTTACCCATATTTTGGCAAGCAAAACAATTTAAAACATTGGGAAAAATAGGTATGAAATCTCTTTATTCTGCTTTAAAAATGCTGCTTTTCCTCTAATTTTGCCTCTCTCTTACGATCTGTTTTCATGTATATACAAATGAATTTTTGGAAGCAGTGTTTTGTTGACCATTGACATCCTCTTCTCCCTTAAAGTTGTGGTTTAATCTTTGAAGTGATGAATTTAAAGTGGTTAAGCTCAGGCTTAAGCATTTGGGAACTACATCAGACCACTCCACCGACCTGCTCCTCTTTTAATCCTGTGCGGCACAAGCACATTCTGTAATCAAGACCTGTGACTTGGGAGCATCACAAGCACCAGTCAAAAGAAAAGTTTGTGTACTTCTTGCCTGTTTTGTTTTCTCACAAGGGTGCACTTTTCTTGCCCATTTTTTTTCTCACAAGGATGTAGGACTTTGAGAACCTCTGCCTCCGTGCCTGTTCTCTCCCAAGATTTTTTTTTTGCAGGTGGTTTAGCCATTTCTCAAGGTGCTCTTCTCTAGTGGGTTAAAAAGAGCAGAGTACACATGCTGCCAAAAATGGATCAGACTGGTAAATCCAGGGTTCTGTTTCATTGTTCTGTCTTAAATGGTTGAACAGATTAGTGTCAGTGCAATGTAATTATAAATTACTGTCATAGTACTTTATGGACTATTTAGCTAATTACACTTGTACATTAAACAGGAAGGTAGCAGCTGTAACTATGTGGGCATCAAAGTAATGCCCTTTCTGCTTTGGTGCTTTATTTTTTCAAGTGGAGGACTTTGAGTGGAAGTGCATTATCTGCCCAAACTAATTTATTAATTGTAAATTTTCATGAAGTTGACGTTTAAATTTTGCTCCACCTCATCAAATAAGTACAAAGAATTAAGATATAGTAAGAAAAACATAATGACTAACAATGCTAGAAATGTGCCTCTGAAATTGAAATGTTCAATTTGTTTTGGCTGTGGAGGAAAGCAAGCTTTACATCTTAGATAAGCCATTCTTTTTAGTGAAGTAAATTATAACTTTTGGGACTTGCAGACCTCATGCCAATTAGAAGCTTTGTTTTAACTTCTGCCTGAGATGGCTTTCCTAGGAATTTAAGTTTACTGTGTTATATAAATGCTGGTAATGCATAAAGTATAATTGGAAGACTAGAGAGAAAGCAAATTGGGATTGCTTAAATCAGGATAAAGCTAAGTAATATTTGTATCTAATACTGGAATCTAGAATAAACCTACTGGTTTTTTTCTTTCATGAAGCCCAGTTAACCATGGTTTAATAATGCTCCTTCCTTCTAAAAGGTAACGGTCACCCATGTTTTTAATAAAATGTCTTCACACATTTTTTCTTTTCTGCAAAGCCCATTTGCTTGGGGCAGGTTTATGTTTTTGAATGACAGTTCTTCCAAATTGGATTTTAAAGTTGTGACCCGGTTAGCCAATAGATGTTACAGCTGCACGCTGATAGGATGAGATAGATAACTGGCATGTGGGTCAGGACCTTAGACCTTTAGATGAAACTAATCATTTTTACTGCTATGTAAAGTGATTTTTGACAAAATCGCAAGGCATCTATACTTAACCCTGGAGATAATGGTGAAAGGTTTTCAGCCACTGTTCATGTGGAGTGTATCATATAGTGTGTATGTCTACTTCCATTTGGCTTCCATTTGCAAATTCACAAGGCACATTTTACTAGTTTAGTGTGCTTAATATACAAGCTAGTCCAGACACCTTTTGAGGTGGTTTATCGTCTTTCAAAATACAAATAGCTTTCTGTTTTAGATAGAGACTTGTTTGTCTTAGGACAGGAAAGAAAGTGTGTGCCTTTCTTTAATCTTCAGTATAAAGAAAGGAAGGTATCTTGAATTCAAAAACAAATGAATTAACATAGATCTAACTATTTTAAGGTGTATGTACTTTCATAAAGGTTAAGGCAATGAGGAAATAAAATCCAACTCTGTCATATCTAGTGACAAAATAATTTAATTTAAATAGTAAGTAAATGGCAGGTTCAAAATTAGAACCCAATTACACAAAGCACAAGCAATAACAAACCCCAATAAATTGGGAGTTCTTCTCATTCACAGACTGTGAAATACAGTCTGTGAATGAGAGAGTGGGTTTAGTTTCAAGTTAAAATATGTTGTTTTACTGGAATATGAACAGTGTAGCATAAGATTTGATAGATTGTTCAGAAAAAGCAGAGAAGCAAAAAAGCTGGCTAAAAAGCACACCAAATGAAAATGTTGTTGGGTGTTTGTTGCTGATTTTTAATTTTTTTCTCCCGATTTCTCTGGATGTCTTACTTGACAGGAACACCTGATTGAGAATGAGGTGTCCATACTGCGCCGAGTGAAGCACCCTAATATTATCATGCTGATAGAGGAGATGGACACTCCTACAGAGCTCTATTTAGTGATGGAGTTAGTCAAGGTAAAGTAATGTCAGCAAATTTTCTTTGGCATTATGTCTACTTAGTGTGAAATGTGGAATGATTCCTGGATCATTATGGTCTCAGGAGATGTAATCAGATGGGCATTTCAGTGGGAACTTTTGTCTTTAATCATGCATGTGCTGTTGTTAATAATCGCATATTTTAATATAATTTGCACCGTTTCATATGGAAACAGTGCAATTAGAATTAAACTACCATACTATTCCAATGGGAGGGGTTTCAAGGTATGAGCACTGCCTACAGGAAGATATTGTTAATTTGTTGTTCTGCCTTTTATAAGCTTTTATTGTTGGGTCTATTAGCAGAAGACAAGCAGTTTTGTCACCAACTTGCAAAATTTATTTTTCACTGTTTTTAGTTGTTTTTCACACATAATGGAGTGAATCACTTCAGTTTACAGTGAATTTGTTTTTCGTAGACAACAGGCACATATACTAAATAACTTACATGTTTCCAGGCACATCTAGAGACCTTTTTCTTCAGCTCCCAGAAGAAACAGGTCTACTACTTCCTTTACTACTCCTCTCCAGTTGCTGGCATTAGTGGCCACTGTCCTTTACCTTCTGCTGACCAACAGCTACATGGTGCTACTATACTTGAATACGCATGGAAAGTTTTCAGTGCCAGCAAACTAGAAATTAAGTGTTACACTGCCTTCTTCTGAAAATTAACAAACTAATACCCTCATGAAGTTCTTTCGTGGGCGGAATGAGCCTGTTAAACCACAGTTTTTTGGCATACATAGCAGCAACGCAGGCAGCGTAACTTGTAAAATTGTTGTTAAAGGAAAGAGCTGAAAGTATGCAGAAGAAAACAGATTAAAATTCTTGAGGTAGTGTTATTTCAGTATAAGAATTTTTTTTCATCAACATATAGAAATATTCTAAAATGATCCCAAGACTTGTGTAATTAGTAGTACTTCCATTTTGCTTGTTTGCTGATGAGATAACTAGTATCTATCATTTGAGCTGGAAGGTCTTTCGTCAAAGCAGATATTATCAAATCATATCAGTTGAAGACCCCTTCTTCAGACACAGACACGCATATGCATGCAAATTCCACTAGTTTCGAAACTGTGATATATGAGGGTGTTTCAGAAAGTAATAGCAGTTTTGCAATAAAATCATTTTGTGTGCAGTGCGTGGAAAGCTACATAATAGCAGGGAGCACTGATGGCAGCAGCATTGTTGAACTCACCCAGCATTTACGACTATGACATCAGTGCTCTACACAGTTGTAAAAATTGAATGCATTCAACAATGCCATCATCATTGTCCCCCGCTGCTGTGTAGTTTTCCACTCACTGCACACAAAATTATTTTATTTCAAAATTGTGTTACTTTCTGAAATACGCTCATACTTGGAGTACAGATGTATGTATGTCAAAAACAGCAGCCACGTTTTTTTCATCAACATGTTAGACATAAGTTAATTTAAATCAGCTCTTATGTGAAAACTTAGCTGCAATCAAGAACTTTTTTCATAACAGTTGCTAGAGTGAAGCACTCAATGAACATCTGTATCTTTTGGCTCAGTCATACTCTGAGCGCTCCATTTCTTCTCCTTTCCTGAAACTGTTTTTATGTGGCAGTTGTTTTTCATTCCTGGGATACAACTTCTCATTTTATAAATGTAAAACAGAACTCCAGACTCCATATATGTTTCCTAAATTACTGCATCTTTCGTCTGTGCTGCAATGCTTGGAATTCCACCCACTGCTGCCTCAAGTCACTCCTACAGTTGTATCCAGGGAAACCATGACAGGGGCATCTATTTAAACTAGTGGAAACACCACTTATGTGAATTCAAAAAGGAAAAATAAAAAACCCTCTGACAAACACATGAACTACACTGCATTCAACTAGAGACAGGCTCATAAAGCAGAATATAGACTCTGTCACTTACTGTATAGGAAAAGAATGTTGTAGCATCTTGCACTTTTATTTTCCTGGGTCAGCCTTATTTATTGATTTTTTCATTAATCTTTGCACTGTGTCTGACTTGTCATTTGCTGTAATTAATGATGACCCCTCATAAGGACAGGCTTCTCTTTGTGCTAGGTAATGTGTTTGCGAATAGCAAATAACAGTATATATGTACTCTGGAAAATGTGTAATATGATAGAGAAGGCTGTCAAAGGTTGGAGGAAAGTAAGGACTGTTCTCATTTAACTGGAGGGGAAATCCAATACAGGGAGGTCGAATGATATGTCCAAGATCATTCACAGGAGGGCTGTAGTACACCTGAGAATTGAATCCAGATGTTCAGGCCCATACCTGGGACACAAGATTATCCTTCCTTCCCGTGATCCGTATTGATGAGACTAGCACTTGCACTTCCTGGTGCAGGTGCTGAAGAGGCCAACTACGGACTGTGCTCTTCTTGACCTGCTGCTTGCAGACAGGGAAGAATTGGTGGAGAATGTAATAGTAGATGGCAACTTGGGCAGCAGTAACCATGAGCTGATTGAGTTCAGGATCCTGAGGAAAGGAAGGGTGGACAGCAGCAGAGTAAGGACACTGGACTTCAGAAAAGCAGACTTCAACTTGCTCAGGGAACTCGTGGACAGTATCCCCTGGACGCCAGTCTGAGGGAGAGAGGAGTCATGAGAGCTGGCTATACTTTAAAGAAGACTTACTGAGTGTGCATCCTGATACACGGGAAGACTAGCAAGTATGGCAGAAGATCAGCTTGGCTTAGCAGGGAACTCTTCAGTAAACTAAATTAAAAAAAGAAAGCTTATAAGAAATGGAAACTTGGACAAATAAGTAGGGATGGGTATTAAAGCATTGCTCAGGCATGCAGGGATGAAGTCAGGAAGGCCAAAGCACAGTTGGAATTGCAGCTAGCAAGGGATATGAAGGGTAACAAGAAAGGTTTCTACAAGTATGTTGGTAGCAAGAGGAGGATCAGAGAAAGTGTGGGTCCCTTACTGAATGGGGGAGGCAACCTTGTGACAGAGGATATGGAAAAGGCTGATGTGCTCACTGCGTTTTTCACCTCAGTCTTCACAGGCCAGGTCAGCTCCCAGACTACTGCACCAGCCAACACAGTTTGGAGAGGAAGTGAGCAGCCAACAGTGGTGAAAGAACAGTTTAGGGACTATTTAGAAAAGCTGGATATATACATATGTGGGCCTAGACGGGATGCACCTGAGGGTGCTGAGGGAGTTGGCTGATGAGATTGCAGAGCCATTGACCATCGTCTTTGAAAACTCATGGCAATCAGGAGAAGTCCTGGATGATTAGAAGAGCACAAACATATTGCCCATATTTAAGAAAGGGAAAATGGAAGATCCAGGGAACTACAGACCAATCAGTCCTTGGAAAAATCATGGAGCAGATCCTCAGAGAATCTATTTCTAAACCCTTGGAGGAGAAAAAGGTAATTAGGAACAGTCAGCATGGATTCACCAAGGGCAAATAATGCCTGACCGATCTGATTGCCTTCTATGATGAAGTGACTGGCTCTGTGGATGCAAAGAGACTAATACCTTGATTTTAGCAAGGTTTTTAATACAGTTTCCCACAACAGTCTCACAAGCAAGCTAAGGAAGTATGGGCTGGATGAATGGACTGCAAGATGGATAGAAAACTGACTGGAGCAACGGGCTCTGAGGGTACTAATCAACTAATCAATGGCTTCATGTCTAGTTGGCAAGTGGTATCAAGTAGAGTGTCCCAGGGGTCAGTCTGGTGCCAGTTTTGTTCAATGTCTTCATCAATGATCTGGAAGATGATATAGAGTGCACCCTCAGCAAGTTTGCAGATGACACCAAGCTGGGGGAAGTAGTAGATACACTGGAGGGTAGGGCTAGAATTCAGAATGACCTAGACAAATTGGAGGATTGGGCCAAAATAAATCTCATGAGGTTCAACAAGGACAAGTGCAAACTCCTGCACTTAGAACGAAACAATCCCATGCACCAGTGCAGGCTGGGGGCTGACTGGCTGGGCAGCAGCTCTGCAGAAAAAGACGTGGGGGTTACAGTGGACAGTAAGCTGAGTATGAGCCAACAGTGTACTCTTGTTGCCAAGAAGGCTAACGACATATTGGGCTGCATTGGTAGGTGTGTTGCTAGCAGGTCAAGGAAAGTGATTATTTCCGTCTCTTCAGCACTGGTGAGGCTACATTTGGAGTACTGTGTTCAGTTTTGGGCCTGCACTACAGAAAGGATGTGGACAAATTGGAGAGAGTCCAGCAGAAGGTAACAAAAATTGTGAGGGGGCTGGGGGAAACTGGGCTTTATATGAAGAAAGGCTGAGGGAACTGGGCTTACTTAGTCTAGAGAAGAGGAAACAGAGAGGATTTAATAGCAGCCTTCAACTACCTGAACCAGGGTTCAAAAGAAGATGGAGCTAGACTATTCTCAGTGGTGGCAGATGACAGAGCAAAGAGCAACAGTCTCAAGTTGCAGCAAGGGAAGTTTAGATTAGCTATTAGGAAGAATTTTCTCACTAGGAGGGTAGTAAAACACTGGACCAGGTTACCCAGAGAGGTGGTGGAATGTCCATCCTTGGAGGTTTTTAAGCTCCAGCTGGACAAAGCTTTGGCTGGGATAATCTAGTTGGGGATGGTTCTGCATTGAGCAGGGGTTTGGACTAGATGACATCCTGTGTCCCTTCCAATCCTAATTTTCTATGATTCTATGATGAGAGGGTACTCCATATGATATATAACACAGGTCTTGAGTAGACCTCTGGTGCAGAAAATTGACAGTTGCCTTTTCTAACCTCTTTTCAGCATCATGAGCTCTCTGATTTTTCCTGTTGTTGCTTAAAACATTTTCCCTTTCTTTAGGGAGGAGATCTATTTGATGCCATCACCTCTTCGACAAAGTACACAGAACGAGATGGCAGTGCAATGGTCTACAATCTGGCCAGCGCACTGAAATACCTCCACGGCCTCAACATTGTACACAGGGACATCAAGCCAGAGAATCTCCTGGTAGGTCATTCATTTTGCCTTTGCTTTGCATCACCTCTTTCTTCCCAACTGTGCATAGTTGTATGTAAAGTTTGAGCAGCAAGGCAAATGAGCAATCACATATGTAGAAGAAATATGAATTTAGAATAGCTATTTATAAAAAAAAAAAAAAAAAATGTTTTTCTATGAAATTTTAATCAGCCAAAGTGCAAAAGTGCACCAGGCACCAGACCCATTATTTTATTTGCATTTTGATTGATGTCCACAATAAGTACGAACATTCCTTCACAGACAGTGAATTAAAAAAAAAATGTATTAATGAATTGTTGTTTATAGCAGTGTAAACTAAAGCAGGAGAACTTGGCTCTTCTCAGACATCTCAGGGTTATTTGAAATAGATTCCTTTCCTTCTGTTCCCATCTTTGGTAAACCTTTTTGATGACTTTTCTCGATCCTAGCTATAAACTTTGTAAGTACACTTATTTTCCTCTGAAGGAATTATATTTCATTTCCATCAGTTACCATCAGGGGCATAAATATCTACTGCACTGTGCCTGATGACAGAAAATATCATGGACATAGCGTTATGAGCTCCAGGTAGAAATTGTCAGCGGAGCAGAAGTGTCTGATTCTCCACTGCTTTGCATCATGGCTGTGTGAAGTATACATAAAGTGACTAGGACACCATTCTCTCCTTTGCTTATATCAGAGATACCATTTAATACTGTCATTAAAACAAAAAAAGCCTCTGGTTATGATTGTCAATTCTGTTAACTGTTTAATGAGATTGCACTAATAAAGATGGACTGATGGCTTTATTTCAGCAGCAACATTCAAACAAGCACAAAGATAAGGCCTGGAACCTGAGTAGCCATTGCATGTTTCAATAGTCTGTTCTTACTCAACTAGTCCTGTTAACTGCAGAGAATTTCCAAGATTAGGCCCATCCTTTAGCAGGTGTGTTAAACCTCCAAATAAACAAGTTGGAAGGAAAAACACATCTTCAGGCCCTACTAGATACATTTTCATGATTGGGGTGATTGCATTGGGTTGTTGAGCAGTGGATCAAGAGGTCTGATCTAGCCTTTCTGTTATTATTTGGCAATATATTAGTTGTGTGTGTGCACGCTACGGCTTTTATTTTTATACAAAATATTAATTTGCATGAAGTGGCAAGCATGTTTATATAGACACTTTTCACTTTAAAATAAAGTGACAAGTTAGCAGGTAAACTGATTTTTTTCTGTAAATACTACCAACAGTAGTTTTGAGATTTAGAGAAGGAAGAATGCAAGAAACTATGGCCCTGTCTTAAAAAATGCAGTCAGCCTGAACACAGCATGCTTACTTTGATCAAGTTCAGCAGAATATGTTCATGCACGACAAATAAAAAGGGGTGCACAATTTCAGTGGCCATCCACAGTTACACCATAGTTGGTCTTGTTCATTTAAAAATAGCATGGTGGCATCAGGAATTTGGAGGGGCTGGAGCTGAGACGAATCTAACCCTTTAAGCCATCATTAGTAATCAAATCAGGTATAAATAGGCACAAGTGTCCTTTTTTCCTAGGCCTAGAAAGTCTAAAAAGATTAGTCAACAGATGCAAGTTGTATTCACTGTGATTGACGCCACATGCATGCTAAGATATCCTACTAGTATTGCATGTCAATGTAAATAATTGCTGTCAATTGCTTCTTGTAATAAGAAGTAATTCAGCTCTTTTAACATGAAATTACCCACTTGTCTGATTTGCATTCTCTTTATTGGCCATATCCTCATAAATACAAACTGTGTCAATCACGACAGATGTGAAGTTATACCAGGGAGCACAAAGGTTTCCATTAGTGCTATGAATTATAAGAGTGCAATGCCCTAGGAGGGCTGTTTACTTATTTGAAAAAACCTAATGATAAATTCAACTTTTCTCTGGAGAAGCTGGAGTCAGGCCATATAGTTACTCCTGTCTAAACCATGATTAACACAAAAATTGTACTTTGAGAACAAAACCAAGATTTATTCACTTTGTGTACCATATCGTGAGTCTTTGGATTTGTTACTTTGTCACATTTTGAGGGGGTAGGGTAGACTTAAATCTACATTCGAGCCATCAAAACAGCATGTAAACATCAAATGCATCCAAGAAAACTCCTAGGAATTTAAACATGATTTTTCAATAGAGTCACCCAGTGTTGAGAACTCGCTAGGATGTCTAAATCTGAAAGCGACATGGTTGAAGATTGGTCTGCCACGAAATTACCTTTCAGCATGCATAACTTGTGACTAGATAACATGCTGAATTAGTCAAGACTTCAGCACAGGTTAAAGTTATAACAAATGGTCCCATTTAAATTCTGGGCTTTATCCACTACAAATACATTTCAATTTTCCCACATATTCAGAATTTCTCAACACCTTACTGTTTTTCCTCCCTAGTCACTAAGGGCTAAATCATGGTTTAACATAGGTACCTACATATCACATGAGGGCTAATAAAATAGCCTCCTTAACATTGATTCTAGGTGCATTGTGATAAGGTAGTGCACTACTACTTTTCTCCCTGGAGCAAGAAAGCAAGTAGTGGGCAGATACTTGACCTTAACCTGATATTCCACTAGCCAGCTCTCTGATGGGAGACATTACTGTCTCCTAGAACTCTCCTTAGGGTTCCTGCATCTTACACCAGGTGGTTTATATGGACATGTGTTCATATCTCCCATCAATGTTTTGTAAAGTTTCAGTCATTGGACTATTAATTTCAGAGAACAAATCTGATGTTCATACATTGAGGTGTTTTAGAGAAGACTCCTATCTCCAAATACAAATGACAATAAGCCAATACAACCCAAACATTAGAATAGCAAGCTTTCCAGTCATGAGGGAAAGAAGAATCACCATTAAAATCAAAATAATGTTGAATAATATAGAAAATGGAGGAATTTATCAGTAATATGTGAAAATCCCAAAAATAAAAAAATGTTTTCATCAGTAAAATGCGTTATTTCCTGAAAATTAGTAACTGTATTCTAGTCATGAGTTGGAGATTAGTGGGTTACTTCTGTGTATCATTGTGTAACTTGGTGGATCGGAATTGTCTGTTACAGTTTTGGCACTTCTTGGGCGCATCTACGTGACGCTGTTTACTGCACAGCAGACTAATTTGCTGCTCAGTAAAGTGTCACTGTCTACATGCACGTGGCAATTATGGTGTAATAGACTAATTTACTGTATTTCCAGACAGTCCCATCAGATACAAGTGGTATTCGACACTGCAGTAAATTACTGCATTTAAATGCACCTCTAGGCAGTTATGTCAGGATTAGTTTATTCCAGGTCAGTTTGAGCCATAGTATATTCAGTCACATTAACTGCGTGTGCAGACACACCCCTTGTTATTCAAGTTTCTAATTAATTTCAGACGTCAGTGTAGGTGGTATCTGGATGGAGGTAGTTGGCCTTATCTCCATTTGAGGACAGTCAATTTTACTTCTGTAGAGTATATATATCACTGGCATTTAAAAGTAATCCAGAAGGGCTAGATAGTTCCCCTTTTCCAGGTGTGCAGTGACAAGATGGGAACAAGGAGGTTAGGGACATGTGACAGATGGAAACATGTGGAGCAGATGGTCACTTTCTTGGGGAGGACATGTTAGATTTTCTTTTTGTTTGAACACCTTCTGTTTGAGCATTATTCTTAAATAAAACTAAACTTGCCATTTAGTGCTTTTTTAAATTTGTTATTTAGAAATGTCACCTTTTTTAAACAGCCAATCGCATTTTTAGAGGTGGTGATAAATAAAGTTTTTGGGCTCTTCTCACTGGCGGGCTCTTCAAAAATCAATCAAATAATTTGTATTATCCTAGACTTGTATGGACAATCAGTGATCTAGCTATCCAAAATTGGAAACAAACTTATTTGTTCAATTCTGATCATTGCTTTTTAAACTCAAAAGAAGAAATTGAAAAATATGATTTTTCTTAAAGCTTCTAAGTAATTGGAAATCATAGTCAGTCCGTTTTATAAAAATCATTTAACAATTTATTGTAAATGTTTCTGCTGAGTTGCTTGTAACACTTTTGCAGATAAAGTATTTTGCTTAACTCACACTGTTTCCCTGTTGCTGGCTGCATTTTTATTTACTTAATTATTGCTGCTTTCATTCATAATCATATTCCCCCAGCAGAAGAAAAAGTGGAGCTGCCATGGTCATTACTTTAAACAGAGGACCCAATTCTGGCCACAATTAAATGGTTGTATTTTCTGTCAGAAGCACCAACCCTTGCAAATGTATACCTGTGTAACTACCTATGAGTACTGTAGTTCCAGGCTTCATTAAGATTAGTTGTATGAGTAAAGGCCCATAATTGCACGATTGGGCTTCTAGCCCTGACGGCTTGCACTAATGAAAAGAGGACAGAAATAAGCTCAGTTGTATGGAAAAAAATAAAACTGGGCATTAGTTAAATAGCTGATGGAGCAGAAGAATAAGCTACTGCTTAAACATTTTTAAAGACTACAAGCAGTTTTCTATGCTTATCTGAGCTATAAATGGACCATAGGTTATTTAGGAGTTCTTAGATCCTGTTTGGATCAGGACTAAAGTGCAGTGCTTTAACCATCACAAGATTTTCCTGAATGTTGGTATAGTAATTCAAGGATGGATAAATATTGTGTCCTAAGTTGTTGTACAGATTGTATTAGAGGCAGAGTAAATAGGTATTACATCAGTTTCATGACCATGAAGTAGTTAGAAGTAAGAGCGAAAGGAAATTGGTTCTAGGTTCCTCTGGAGTTGTTGAAAGCAAAACAGAGCAAATTGTAATTTAAAAATTGTGCTGGATTTTTTCGTTTTCTCGAACTGAGCCTTGTCCTATCAGAATGTCTTGAGGCTCAAAGTTAAATCAAAGCAGTAGAGGTGAAAGTATGCAAGAACTAAAGAGAAAAATCCAATGCAGTGGATAGCTGTGGAGGGACTCTCTTCACCCCACTTGATAAGATGGACAGACTTTGTGTTTTTACCCTTTATTATATATGAAAAATATTCTCTAATCCTTTATATGTTTCTGCTAACTCTAGGTTTGTGAATATCCTGATGGAACAAAGTCCTTGAAACTAGGAGACTTTGGGCTGGCCACTGTGGTTGAAGGACCTTTGTATACAGTCTGTGGTACACCAACGTATGTGGCTCCAGAAATTATTGCAGAGACAGGGTGAGGATACATAATTAAAACTTTTATGTTGTGATGTGCAGAATAGATCTACAGTATACTAGAGTATGTGGATGGTGAGTTGTGTCCAGTCAGTACAGTACATCAAATCCTTTGACAAAAACATATGCGTCTTTTACATACAAAACAAAAAATTATTGGTGTGTGTGTAACTTAGCTGTAGCTGGATCACTTCTTTAATTGGGCAGAAGGCAGTCTCTCTCAAAAAATCTTCAAATTAAATCATAGTCCCCTTGAATCATAAGGGGGCAGTAGCAAGCCTTAATTTAGATTTCCCACAGCCAGGATATTCCCTCTATTAACAGTGGTGAAGTTCACTGTCACATGGTCAAGAGCTAATAGACACTGACAGCAAAGGGACCTGATTCAGAGCTTGTAGATTTGGATTTACTGTTTGAAAAAAGAAAAAAAAGGCAACCTTTGCCCTACAGTTGTTCTAACCTGCATGTTTAAAAAGAAAGTCTCAGGTCTTCATCCTAGTGTTATTTGCTCATGAAGGAGACTGGGGTCTTGTTGCCTACTTTGGCAGTATCTGGGAATGCTGCAGAAAGGGTGCCCTCTGTGGGAAGGGAAGGAAAGGGAAAGCCTTTCCGTCTCTTGCTTTCAGCAGTGGTCTTGGTTTAATGTGGTCTGATGTGGAGATGAATCTGAATGCTTGTAGAAGGTGGGTGGCCTTTTATATGGAGCCTTGAGAATTGCAAACTAAAAAAAATGAAAAATATGAGATCCTCTGGCTTCTCTGAAGAGTCCCTAGAAAAATAATGATCAGATGTCCCTTTAGAAACGACTCCATATGATTACATAATACCACCTAAAATCCACCGCTATGAAAGACTGAACATTCTGAGAGTTACCTGTGCAATTTTTCAGGGTGTATTAATTTAATCACAAAATGTTGAACTTGAATGACATATTTTGGAAGCCCATGCATGTAATACATTCCCATGTTTTTGCAGATATGGCTTAAAGGTAGATATTTGGGCTGCAGGTGTGATCACGTATATACTGCTGTGTGGATTTCCACCTTTTCGCAGGTGAGTTCCCTTTTATTTTAGAACAGTGCTCAAACAGAAGGTGTTCAAACAGAAAGAAAATCTAACCTGTCCTCCTCAAGAAAGTGACCATCTGCTCCAAATGTTTCCCCCAACCTCCCTTGTTCCTTTTCTAACCTATTTCAGCTGTCCCTAATTCAGCTAGAACCACCCCACCCCATGCCCTTTCCCCAGATAGCAGTGTTCAATATTTTTGTGCTCAAGGGGGCAATTGGTTAAGTAGCAGGTGTGCCTTGATGCCTTAATGTGTGATGAGGATAGCCTTCTCATCCTACCTTTGTACAGAGTATGTGTATTTTTGCCCTCTAGTGTATACAGCAAAAAGTGCAGCTTCTTGGTAAAGAAAAACCAACCAGTGACTGCTTCCCAAAGATCAAAAGAATCCCTTGTAAATGTTTTATCTCTATAAAATGAGATGTCAGCTGTTCATAAACTTGGTGCCAATTCTATCAAAGGTTTTGTAATCAAGAAGCTGTGCAGTTAATTTGCATGTAATAGTATTTATATGTTTTTATATTAATGTTTCTTTTTTCATTAGTATTTATGTGCACATAAGGATTAAAATATTAAGGAATGTACCTGGAATTCTTGAAAAGATGTAATTGGACATCACATTTTAATCACAAAGTTTCAACTTTATATTTAGTATATGTCATATCCAATGCCTGTGTTTATACAAAAGGGTTATAGCTATATACAAGTTGGTGCATAGATTAGTTTTTACTAAAATGTATCATTCTCTCTGTCCTTAAATAACTGTGGGAAGTTGCCATCCAGTTTGTGTTTTTCATATCTATTGCAATCATTCCACCAAGCAGGATAGAATATTTGTGCTTTTTAATATTGCTTGACTACCTTAACTAGGTCTTAGCCACCATTCCTCAATAAAACTATTTGAGATCAACCCCAAAATAAAGCTTGTGCATTCCAAGAGTAGTGAATTCTAATATTGCTATACACTGGGATCACAAGCCAGAAGTTGTTTAAAAAAAAACGTCATGCAGTGTGGGAGTGCATTAATCCCATATTTTCCTATATCCTTTCTCCAGATTTCAACAATGTCCTTGTAGGGTTGTCTTGCAGAAGGGATCATATTCCTGCTTCTCCTCCTATCTACATCACTTGCTGACCCCGACAGTCATTGAGGGGAAAAGAGACAAACTTCCAAGTCTCCTTTCTTCCCTTATGCCAGGAACAGGAGATTGTAATGCTGTTAATGCGCAGATTTTGCTTGTTACCTATGCAGTCCCTACTTGAATGGGAAGTAGACTTAGGCCTTTCACTGCTGTGTTAGCTCCCCAGTAGTACAGTTAGCATGAAGCCCCACCAAACCTGCAAATTGGGGTAAATAAGGTAACATTGCTAGAGTACTAAATAAGATAACATTGCTTTTCTTCACCTCAGAAATTTAACTTATTGCTTGTGTGGCAAAACTTACACCTCTCTTGTGTTCTCTCCTATTGCTGCTGATCCACAGTGAGAACAATCTTCAGGAAGATCTCTTCGATCAGATCCTAGTTGGAAAGCTAGAGTTTCCCTCCCCATACTGGGATAACATCACTGACTCAGCTAAGGTACAGAGATATGTTAGCAGATGAAGTCTCCAGGCTCTGGAAGTGTTTCTGACAAGCCATTGGAAGCACTGTACCTCCTGGTGGCACAGAACCTCTCCTGTCTCATTATTACCAACTATTCCAAGCCATGGCAGGCTCCAGAATATGGCAGTGGTACCTGATGAAAATGCAGGTCTCTCAACCCTAGTTTCCTGTTTATTTTCTGGATGAACAAGGGTAACAATGTTGATTTGCCTTCAGTAAGGCTTGCATGTTGTTTTATGGTTTTCTTAATGACAACTATTGTACTAGGTTCAGTGGCTGAGTTGTAATATAATTGTTGTTCTGAATTTTCCTTCTCTATACTCTTTTGAGAGAAGAGTAGTTGTTATATGGACTGACATCAGTTGAAATCACTAGGTCTGTTTTCACCCTTGGGCCACAGAAGCCTTAGCTATTAGCACTTCAGTGAGCTTTAGGCACTTCCTAGTACTTAAGATACTTTAAATGACTGAACCTGTGTAATCAATGTTTAAAATTTTAACCCTGGGTCTTAAAGGAGTCCCATCCATGTGCCCTGGATTTTTAATAGAAATTATTCCATATATGAGAGGAATTTGGGTGCACTGTAGATTAAAAAAACCCGCATTTTTATCCAAAGAAATAGACTGTATTCTGTCTCCCAAAGGCTGTTGCATAATATTGATGATGGTGTAGAATAATAGAGAAGTAGGGCTGGAAGGGACCTGTAGAGATCATCTAGTCCAGCCCCCTGCCTGAGGCAGGATCCATTCCAAGCAAATCCTTATCTAACCTATTATTAAAACCACACAGGTAACCCTGCCCCATAACCACAAAGCATAACACCCTAACATGCTACAGGTAAAACAGAGGGCTACTATCCAGCTGCTGCAAGGCTTGTTAAAATATGCTCAGGAAATCTGAGAGAGACATGCCCCACACTACCGAGGAAGGCAACAACCCCCACAGACTGTACCAGTCTGACTATGCAGTAAAATTCCTTCCTGACCCAAAATATGGCAGCTGGTCTGACCCTGAGTGGAGGGGCAAGAGCCTCTTACCCGGAACCAGCAAGAGCATTGGCACACCCCAGTCAAAATCTGAGGATTTTGCTTTGGCTGCATTCAACACTGAATGCTTCTGAGGAATACAAAAACAGCAGTTAGGCTCCGGAGTGGCGAGAGACGCACGGGTGAAAGCCCAATGCACCCCTGCTCCCCCGAAGCCCCCCAGAAACCCCCCAGCAGCTGCGGAGCCCCCCGCCGACCCCCAGCACAGCCGGAGGCAAGTGGGGCCTGTGGTGGGAGGGGGTTAACCCCTCACTGAGTGGGAGGAGGCAGCTGAGTGGAGCCGGGCCGGGTCAAGCCCCTCCCAGGCCCCTACTTCGCCCAGCCCCCCAGGGAGCCACGCGACCAGAGCCACGCGAACAGGTTGTGCAAACAGGCGTGCTTGTCTGCCAGCGCGTGAGTTAGCGTGGAGTTTGTGCAGGAGGGTGCGCGGGAGGGCCCGAGACCCTGCCTGCAAACCCCCCAGGGTAGACAGTCCTAGCTGTAGCCAGCCTACCAGAGGCATGACACAGATGGGCACGCATCACACCCCAAGGGTCCCCTCAGGCTCTGCAGCTCCCCCACCCCAGCACCTCAGAGATGGCCACCCAGATGGAGCCCATGGTTCTACTACAGAACTCCCACCCAAAGTCCTGAGCTTGACCAGGAGTTCACCCAGGAACTGGTTGAGGCCGCATGCTCCAGGCTACCATGGTGGTCATGGGTGACTTAAATTACCCGGACATCTCGTGGGAGGTTCACTCAGCAAAATCCGAGCAGTCGCAAAGCTTCCTCTTGTGCGTAGATGACCTCTACCTGACTCAAGAAGTCTATGGGCCAACAAGAGGCAAAGCGCTGCTCAACCTGGTACTGGCTACTGGGGATGACCTAATCAGTGACCTAGTAATCAATGGGAAGCTGGGTGACAGCAACCATGACCTGATCACTTTCACCATCTGCCGTAAAGCTGGCGAGTCAGTCAGCAACACGGAAGTCCTTGACTTCAGCAAAGCCAACTTTGACACGCTCAAGAGGCTTGTCAGTCAGGCCCTAAGGGACCATGACCCCAGGGAGAGGGGAGTTCAAGAAGAGTGGTTGCTCCTCAAGGGAGCGATCCTCAATGCATAAGCTGAGTCTGTTTCATCTCGGAGGAAAGGCAGCAAGAATGCACAGCACCCCCTCCCCCCCCCGGCTCTCCAGGGACCTAACAGACCTCCTGAGGTGAAAAAGAAAGGCCTACAAAGGATGGAGGACAGGATTCACCTCCAAAGAGGATTATTCTGCACTGGTCCGGTCCTGCAGGGAGCAAACCAGGAAAGCCAAGGCTGCAACTGAACTCCAACTAGCTT